GTTCTGAACCACCTTCCAGCTCGGAACCACCTTCAAGTTCTGAACCACCTTCAAGTTCTGAACCTCCATCTAGTTCAGAGCCTCCATCTAGTTCTGAACCACCATCTAGTTCAGAGCCTCCATCTAGTTCTGAACCACCATCTAGTTCTGAACCACCATCTAGTTCTGAACCACCATCCAGCTCGGAACCTCCATCTAGTTCTGAACCACCTTCCAGCTCAGTCGCTATATCTGGTTCAGCTGCTCCACCTAGTTCAATTGAGACGTCACCATACTCCGGTACTGCACCAACCTTAGTTGTCCCTTCAAGTCCAGTCACTAGTCCACCCATCACTAGTTATTCAACCGTTCCATCTATATCACAGACTCAAGCTTCTAGTTTAAATTCTGAGGCTGTTTCAAGTATTCTCACTACTGGGTGTTCAACTTTCGTTGAAACAATTAGCTTGGCTCATTCTGTAACCATCCAAACCTGTGAAATAATCGTCAAAACAAATTCCAAAGGCGATTATATCACAACGACTTTGACTCTTAGTGGCGTTCATGATTCATCTTCAAGCGAAGCAGAAAATTTTGAAAACAATAAATCACAAGCTACTTCGACCTCCAGCGTAATAGATGACAAATTAACTAGCAAAAATGCCATTACTACGCATTCAAGTGGTCAACGAGAGCTTACCAGGAGTAGTAGCGGTGCAACAATTATCACAGAGGAAGACTCGACTTATACCACGCATTATCCATTACCTACAGAGACTACGGAAAATACTTCAAGCATCTCTAGCCCAATTCAAGAATCAGAATCTCTGGAATCACCGTTGCCTGATGTACATTTCTCAATTGAACCTGATTATACCATAAGAACACCAAGTTTTAGTACTACTTTCCAGTCGATTAAATCTCTTAATGTCGCTGTTCCCACTTCAGCTGCATCTACGCTTAGTCCTAATGGTGTGTCTTCTGAACTGTTTACCTTCACTTCTGTTAGCATTTACAATGGTGAGGCCACCTCCCTTAGTCGGAGTAATTCATTATTGTGGACTGTTTTACTTGTTATTGCGTACATCTAAGAATCAAGAGATCTAACCTTTAACTTAAATTGATTTCTGATGCTAGTATGTTAAATTTTAATCCCCTTATGTTTATTAATTTCTTCCCAAGTGTATTAATTTTTCGTTTAGTTTATCGACTTATAGGGTTTTATGAATAAATATTTCAATGTTTATCTAAGTAAAAACTCAAGGCTTGTAAAATTAGAGAAGAATTGGGATTTCGGGTTTAGAACTTTTCATCAAAAATGTTGAGTTTTCTTTAAATATTACAAAGTTTAAGATTACTCACAAGCACATTTATAAGACGGAACTTTAAAGTAGAGCTAACTGGAACTATTTTGGATACTTAATTGATCGCTATATAATAACATATATCTTTATGATGGTCATATGATTTAATTATATTTGATTAGCACAACTATAGCTTTTGAATAAAAAACTTCTGTGATGGTTTTCGGTAGTAATATATCATTCTCTTGTCCCCATTTTGAGCTTGTTAATCTATGAAAGGAAAGATACAATTTTCCCTTGAGTGCTTTTGGCATTAAACAGATAAGAGCTATTATAAATAAAAATTGTCTAAAATAAGAAATGCTGCGAAATGTGTAACATTTAAACACGGGCCTCGAATTAAACTTACTACCAGAGTATTTTTTTTTTCGCCCTTCTTGTTAATATTAAGAGTCGGTGAGTTAGAGGATTGCAGTAACCTAATCTCTTTAGTATTTTTAATAGAGTTTATTTCAATATTTTTTTATACTCTATTATTATTTACCCATTTCTTACTGTTAAGTCAATTAATAAGGCATGTAAAAGAAAAATAAACTTCAGTGGCTGTTGCTTCATCTTACAATAGTAACACATCTAATAACTTCAATAATAAAACTCAGATTAACACAAATGGATGTTTGTATTCATCCAACTATAAAACAACTTTACTACATCGTAATAATTTATAAAACCGACTCTACTTCTTGCACCCGTTTATTGCATGCATCATAAACCTGAATTCGAGCATGGCCTAAACCAAAAATATGCAAAGATAAGGTTCTTAGGTGTGAAAAATTTTCAAATAATTTAGTTAAGCAATCTAGAACTAAATTGAAAGCACCATTTATTAACCTAGTTTTCAAGGCTTTTTATACATTAAAAAATTTAGCTTATTTTCAATAAATTGCTTAAATAATACTTAGTTGCGATATTTCTCACAAGTTTGTAGACATCAGTCTAATGTTTAAATCCATGTCATTTCAGATATTCTAACAGACTCTCTTCAAAATTTTATCTATGTTGAATAATGCCTAGGTTATCCTAATGCGGATTCGTAATATTTTTCGTCACCAAAGTATCAAAATCAGCTTTGTTATCATCAACATATTTAGGATATATACCGACAGATAGAATGTAAAAGTGATACTTTGTATTGTCTCCTGAAAACAAATTTGGTAATTTATTTCGGCCGTAATGGTTCCATCTAGCTCAGCTGCAATCCTTTCATTGGTGTTAGGATGCAAAGATCGATTTTTGCATTGCACCAGAAAAATGAGTGGGCTACCAAAGTCCAATCTTGCTTGGTCATTTCACATATCTTAGTCATTTCAATTAGAGTGCTCGGTCGTGCTCAGCCGCATCACCAGCACAGTCGATTATTGAGTACTATCATTTCTTCAAAAAATCATAATGCTTATTGTCTACAAAATCTCATTCGAGACGAGCACCATACAAAAATTTCGCAACAATTTCTTAAATAGGAAAATTGTAAACATCATGGATCAATATTATTAACTATTTGGTAAAGACTATATACATCGAAGATCGTTCCAGGACATAAACATTTCATCCATGATTAAGTCTAAATAATACAATATACAGGTCTCTTGACGATTTCCAATCAATAACGACAAAATAAGTGGATCAACAGTATCGTCTATTCAATTCAAAGATAATTCCACCTTCATAAATACCCATTCACTCAACTATACTGGAAATTAATTGCGTTTCCTAAATATAAGGTAATAGCAGCTAATAATAATTACATACAATGGTCGATTGTATGCTAATAGCAGTGCCGGCTGATCTACTAGTGATGCTTTTGAGCATAACAACATCATCACTTGGAGTAGCCGTTTTAACAAGCCAGACTATGACTATTGCATTGCTTCTATTCATTATTGGAGGATATATTAGTGGTGTTTCATTGCTTATTAAGATATTGTTTAGACTGAATCTAACCCCTTTATTTTTGATATTCCAACTCATAGCACACATTTTTCAAATTGTCACAGGTATCATCTTCTGCATCAACATTATTCACGACCGTTTGGATTTTTCAAAAGGATTCAGAGGTTGGGAAGTAACTTTGCCCACTATATTCATTATAAATGTCTTTTTCATGGCCATTTCACTAGTATTACATCTCATTGTATTTTTGCAAGGAGGTCCAGAGGAAATAGAAGACTTCGACTTGGAAAAGGATGCTGTTTCTCTGTCAGACTCCTTCCTAGAGTCACAAATCACCCATGCTCATCCTATTCAAGAAGATAATCTACCCCAAAATTTGAATATAGAAGATCAAAAAGTATCGAAGAAAATATCGGATCAGACGTTGGTTGAAGGACCGATTTACGATACTGTGGTCAAAAATAAATTGAATATCAACACGAACAATGATTCAGCATATTTTATGGACTATCCTCCGAATGATGATACATCGGATTACCTGTACTATACTAACAAGAATTGGATGGATTCCAATACAAATTTAAATTCGTTGAAGCTTTCAACCAATTTCACTAACATTCCTATACCCGAAACACCTACTAAATCACTTGCCAAAAAGACCAGTTTTGGGTTATTTAGGATGAGCCCAAGAGCGATAGATTCAAATAGCAAACTTGCCAATGACAAACAGAATATGATAAGTGGATTGAAACAGTCGAAGAGCGTTCCGAATTTTGTGAAAACAACAAACCTTGATCACTATAGAAGTGCTAACAACAAAAAGTCAAAATTTGAGCCCATTCCGGATTTAAACACGTTAGACATAAATAAATTAAACCAAAACTGTTCTCAAGTCATAACCCCTGTGAATTACACACATGATCAAAATTTTGGCTTCAAGAGTGACGAATCTAACACTAACAGATATAGACGAGTTTCATTGATAGAGTCTAATTGTAATGACATCCTTCATGGCGAAAATAATAGCCCAATTGATGGCAGCAGATATCTCGTAAAAAGATCTAAATCAACTAGTTATATTGGTGGGAAATCTAGAAAAACGAATAAAGAAGAAAGACGGAAGTCAATACACGATGAAAAAATATTTCTTCGAAATGTTAATGAATCCTTGTTGCCAGCAGTATTAAAAAGTGGTGAAAGTCCCATAATGGAATTGAAAAGGCAACAAGAAACATTGGGTAAAAAGACAGAGGAGCAGAATAAGAGTCCTCTCAGTCACAAAGGTAGTCCGAAACATTCTTCCAATTTACAAAAGGATCTTGTATCAGGTTTAAGCACTGTTGGTGAAGCTGATCTGAGTGACGTAGAAAAAGCCAATAGTAATGAAGCCACAGATACAGAGTATTCGAATTTACCGTTTATATCTGAATTTGATGAGCCAATTGATCAGGAAAGATTCAAAGGATTTGATCAGGATATAGCAGTTGTTGAAGAAGAGCCAGTTGAAATCTTCAAAAAGACTCCGAAGAAAAAAGGTACCTATCAATTTAATGAGTTTAATTACAGAAAGGAAACCACAAACCAATCGGGTCAAGAAAAAGAAGATGAACAAACACCTGAAGATTACTATAAATCCTTAAATGGTCTAGAAAAAATTCCGAAATCCAGTTCCACTTCGAATATCATATGGAAGCAAGAATCAAAGGAAAATGAGACTTCAAGCTCTATGAATCATATCTCCCTAAAGGATTGGGATAGTAACTCAACAAAATGGAATGAACATAGAACTAGATCTGGTGCAAACTTGAATATTGCTGGCATTACAAGATTAGTAAGCGATCAAAACTTAAGATCTATGAGTGACGGTAGTAATTCAGTAATACCTGCTGATATAGATTTATTACCGCCCTTAGAATATCGGCTTGATAATATCGACAACTTGAGTGATATATATAGTACTACAGGTAGTACTAAAGGAACGGAGCTCAACCGTTCTTTCACTTCTTTGAATAGATCCTCAAGTGCTCCATCATTACACACATATAGAGAACCATACACTGGAATAGATGGTACACATAGTGATTCTCGTGAATCAAAGAGTTTGTCTATAAAATCTCTGGAAGACACATTACATCACGTTAACACTATTGCAGAACGACACACTGTTTCAACAGCAAGCTCCTCGCCAATTAAGAAGTTTTTTCAAGAGAGCCCAAAACGTTTAAATGTGATTTTTAAAAGAAAACCAATGACTAGTAGGTATAGTCTCGATTTGAGTTCATTGAAAGATCCTAATATTAATTCGAATCACAAGCATACAAGTTCTTTGGCTTCAAATCAGTTTTCCATGTATTCCACTAAATCATCAAAATCAAGTTCCCCGAGAAAGTCTTTCAGGGCCCTACTTAGGTCGCCTAGTAAGCTTCAGACCCCGAGCCCTATAGAACCGACTTTTGCAGAAGAATCCAACGCAACTTCCCAGAATAATTTATTCAACACCAATGATGATGGTTGTCTGATATATATGACTGAGAATGCATTAAGCTTCTGGGATTTGGATACTGCTCATAGTTCAGATAGATCAAGAGTTAGTTCAATTCCAAGCGCAGTAATTGGGGAATATGATAGAGAAAAATGGAGAACTTTAAAAGCATTACAAAACCAAGAAAAAGTCTCTCTCGAAAGAGTTGAAGCGTAATTATATATATCTAGATATTTCTAAACTTTATAGACCTAAATTGCATTAATCTACACTATTAAATTTGTATTCGATGAGTTCAATTTTTTTTTTTTTTTTAAATCGCAGACATAATATCATTTGAAAAATAAATATATTATATCTATACTCTTTGCATTATTCACATATTCACATATTATCGAGATGGATGGTGAAGATTTGTTTGACGTCTTTGACGAAGCACCTTCCAATGCTCCTCCAGTAATACAAACAGAAACAAATCCAAAGAATGAGGCTTCAAGCAAGAAGCGTCAAGCTTCAGAAGAACCTGAAGAGAATGGCGGAGAAAAACAAGCTAAGAAAGAGAAGAAAACTGAAAAGAAGCAAGACGAAAAATCCAAATCTAAACAAGATATCACTCCAGTTGTTTTCGATGCTGTCGAAATTGAAGCTTCAAGAGAGGTTGCTGCCTCTGATGGATTAATGGGAAAAACGTCTGATGCAAAGCCAGCACAATTACAGTTGAGACATCAAGTTAGACATCAAGTTGCTATTCCACCTGAATATCCATATGTTCCTATTGGTGAACATAAAAGACAAAATGAGGCAAGAACGTATCCTTTCGTTTTGGACCCGTTCCAAGATACAGCTATTTCGTGTATTGATAGAAGCGAATCCGTATTGGTATCAGCCCATACTTCTGCCGGTAAAACAGTAGTTGCAGAATATGCTATAGCCCAGTCTTTAAGAGAAAAGCAAAGAGTAATTTATACCTCTCCAATCAAGGCATTGAGTAACCAAAAATACAGAGAATTATTAGCAGAATTTGGTGACGTAGGTTTAATGACTGGTGATGTTACTATTAATCCTGATGCGGGTTGTTTAGTTATGACTACAGAAATTTTACGTAGTATGTTGTACAGAGGTTCCGAGGTTATGAGAGAAGTTGCTTGGGTAATCTTTGATGAGGTTCATTATATGAGAGATAAGGCTCGTGGTGTTGTTTGGGAAGAAACAATTATCTTATTGCCAGATAAGGTTCATTATGTTTTTCTTTCAGCTACTATTCCAAATGCAATGGAATTCGCTGAATGGATTGTCAAAATCCATGCACAACCATGTCATGTCGTTTATACAGATTTCCGTCCAACTCCATTACAGCATTATTTGTTCCCTGCGGCAGGAGATGGTATTCATTTGGTTGTTGATGAAAAAGGGACTTTCAGAGAAGAAAATTTCCAAAAAGCTATGGCTTCTATAAGTGATAATGTCGGTGATGATCCATCATCTGCTGATAAGTCAAAAGGTAAAAAGGGACAGACTTATAAAGGGGGTAATAAGGATGGTAAGTCAGATATTTACAAAATTGTTAAAATGATCTATATGAAAAGATATAACCCAGTTATTGTTTTCTCTTTCTCCAAAAGAGATTGTGAGTCATTGGCTTTGAAAATGTCAAAGTTAGATTTCAATACTGACGATGAAAGAGAAGCTTTAACTAAAATATTCAATAATGCAATTGAATTATTACCTGATGCTGATAAGGAACTTCCCCAAATTAAGAATATCTTGCCCTTATTGAGACGTGGTATTGGTATCCATCATTCTGGATTATTACCAATTTTAAAGGAAATTATTGAAATTTTATTCCAAGAGGGGCTCTTGAAGGTTTTGTTTGCTACTGAAACGTTTTCAATTGGTCTTAATATGCCTGCTAAAACAGTCGTCTTCACTTCTGTGCGTAAATGGGATGGTAAAGGGTTCCGTTGGGTTTCTGGAGGTGAATATATTCAAATGTCTGGTAGAGCAGGTCGTCGTGGTCTAGATGATCGTGGTATTGTTATTATGATGATTGATGAAAAAATGGAGCCACAAGTTGCAAAAGGAATGGTTAAGGGTCAAGCAGATAGATTAGATTCAGCCTTCCATTTAGGATATAATATGATCTTGAATTTGATGAGAGTTGAAGGTATTTCTCCAGAGTTCATGTTGGAAAGCTCATTCTATCAATTTCAGAATGCAGCATCAGTTCCTGTATTAGAGAAGAACTTGCAGGAATTAACTTTGAAATCGAATAGCATTCAGATTGATGATGAAGCAACTGTCAAAGAGTATTATGATTTGAAAAAGCAATTTGATATATATCAAGACGATGTTCGCCAAGTAGTTACCCATCCTGGCCATATTTTGCCATTCTTACAACCAGGAAGAGTTATAAAAGTTAAGGTGGGCGATATGGATTATGGTTGGGGTATGGTCACATCATTTTCAAAGAGAACCAATAAGAGAAACCCATCTCAAACATACAGCGATCACGAAGCATATATCGTGAACGTTTTTGTTTACACTATGTTTGTTGACTCACCAGTTAATTTAATAAAGTCATTTAATCCAGACCTTCCAATTGGTATAAGACCAGCTAAGGTGGGTGAAAAATCTAGAGCAGAATACATCCCAATAACTTTGGATTCCATTGAAAAGATCAGCAGTGTTAGATTAAGAGTTCCTGATGAATTCAAGAGTTCAAGTGCTAAAAAGAATTTGTTAAAGACCATGAAGGATTTACCAAAGAGACTTCCTGATGGTATTCCATTAATGGACCCAATTGAGAGTATGAAAATCGATGACAATGAATTTAAATTACTATTGAGAAAGATAGATGTTTTAGAATCCAAGATGTTAAGTAATCCTCTTCATGAATCCGTTAGATTGAAAGATTTATATGAAAAATATAGTGAAAAGGTAGAAATTGAGAACAAAATAAAGTCACTTAAGGACAAAATATTGGAAGCTCAAGCAGTAATTCAATTGGATGACTTGAGACATAGAAAGAGAGTTCTTAGAAGATTGGGGTTCACTACACAGAATGATATCATTGAATTAAAAGGTAGAGTTGCTTGCGAAATCAGTACTGGAGATGAATTATTATTGACCGAATTGATCTTTAATGGTACATTTAATGACTTAACTTGTGAGCAATGTGCATCGTTGTTATCATGTTTTGTCTTCCAAGAAAAGGCTAAAGAAGTTCCTAGATTAAAACCTGAATTAGCTGAGCCATTGAAGTCGATGCAAGATATGGCTAGTAAGATTGCTAAGGTCTTTAAGGAATGTAAGATAGAGCTCGTTGAAAAGGAATATGTTGAATCTTTCAGACCAGAATTGATGGAAGTTACATATGCATGGTGTAAAGGTGCCTCTTTTACTCAAATTTGTAAGATGACTGATGTCTACGAAGGTTCCTTGATCAGAATGTTCAAGAGATTAGAAGAAATGTTGAGACAAATGGTAACTGCAGCTAAGACAATTGGTAACGCCGAATTAGAAGAAAAGATGGAAAAATCAATGGAATTAGTCCATAGAGATATTGTTTCAGCTGGTTCATTATATCTTTAGATATTCACTGATGTATATTTTATGTATAATAGTAATATTGATGAAAAATTCAAGTCATTAGTTAGAGAGCACTGCGCCAAAAATTCTATGTAGGTAATTTTTTCTATCTCTTATCATTTTGCCTCCTCTAAAGCAATAATTAACTTTTACTATATTAATTTATATTTTGTTCACTGTGGGTAAGAATAACATGCCAGTTAATAAGCAAGCTACAAGAAAGAAAAGCATATCGAGCAATGAAGTTGAGTTGCTCTATACCAAATCTAAAGCATACCTTCACCCCACAACCTCGAAGAAGGATAATATACCAGGATATTTGTCATTAAGTAGAAGTGCTAATGCAGCTAACAGGGATATTATAATCTCGTTTATGTCTGAAAAGCAATTATCAAGTGAAGAATTGAAGGCATATGAAAATGTTGATATTGCAGATTTGCAAGATGATTTGGAAGCATTGAAGCTTGGAGGTACAAACAGTAGATCATCCGGTAAGCAAAGTTTGAACGTAGTTTCGAAACCTCCAACTTCAAGCGCTTTTGGGCTTTGTTTCAGCATTCCGATATCATATGTCTATTCCATTCAAGTCCGGAAACCATCCGTGGGATGGTGGTTCGGATCGATAATAATTAATACCCAAGATGGAGAAAAGTTACCCATTGTATTTTTCCACGACGATGAATCTCCTTCAACGTTAAAGAATCAAAAAGTCAGAAATCAAAGGTTCGATCCTTTCGGTGATAATGGTGAAATGTACTGGGGAGGGCAAGATTTTATGAATGCATTAGGAAAGTTTGCAGATGTTCAAAAATCAAGTGTGGAACCATCGGTATATTTAATTAATCCCGAATCTAATGACTTGAGAAATTTTGCCCCATTTAAAGAATCTAAGACAGCTAAAAAAGAAGGCAATTCTGAACCATTCAAATTACCGGATGTTAACAAGTTTCTTGCAAATGCTAAATGGAAGGTTTTGGAAACTGTTGCTACCTTTTCAGCTAAAACTCGAAACCAGGTACTTGATCTTGTTGATGAAAATGCCCCTATGCCAATTAAACAGATTATAAATAAACCAGAAGTTCAAAAAATTGGAAATGAATTTGATAGCGCTAGGGTTTATTTAGCAAAATGGGCAGCACAAGTTAAAGAAGAAGCAGAAGAGGCACACAGGAAATATCAATTGGATGACGAGATCTATAACAAGATTAATAAAGAGTTAGGTGTAGGATCAAGTACAGAAATCTTGACCGATGAAGAGGTAAGTAGAACTTCTCGAAGGAAACCCCTCAGCAAGGTTGAATGGGAAGGTTTATTTGATTTTTCAGGCAGACTAGTTATTTCCATAGATGAAGTTAAAGACAGAATCTTTCATGGAGGGCTAGAAGATTGCGTAAGAGGAGAAGCATGGCTATTTTTACTTAATGTATATCCATGGGATTCTTCATCTGAAGAAAGAGTCACCTTGCGCAATAGCTTTCAGACAGCTTACGAAGAAATAAAGTTAAAATGGGTTAATGACGAAGATAAAAGAAATACAGAATTTTGGAAAGACCAGAAACACAGGATTGAAAAAGATATCAATCGTACTGACCGTAACTTAGCAATTTTTCAAAACAAGAAGAAAGTTTCTATTTCAAGTATGGGAAGTGATCAATTGCCAACAACAAGAGAGTCGTCACCAGAAACTCCGGACGAAGCTGATGATGACGAATTTGATGTTTCTAATATCACGAATTCCCATTTATTTAAGATGAGAGAAATATTGTTGACTTACAATGAACATAACGTTAATTTGGGATATGTTCAGGGGATGACAGATTTGTTGTCACCATTATATGTAACATTTCAAGACGAGTCCTTGACATTCTGGGCTTTTGTGAACTTTATGGATCGTATGGAACGGAACTTTCTTCGTGATCAATCTGGAATGAAGAACCAAATGCTCACTTTGAATGAATTGGTTCAGTTCATGTTACCAGACTTATTTAAGCACTTAGAAAAATGTGAATCGACAGATCTATATTTCTTCTTCCGCATGCTACTAGTCTTGTTCAAACGCGAATTCGAATGGTCCAACGTACTTTCCCTATGGGAAATCTTGTGGACTGATTATTATTCCAGCCAGTTCCATCTTTTTTTCGCCTTGGCAGTATTGAGCGACAATGAACGAATCATAAGACAAAATCTAGGCCGGTTCGACGAGGTCCTCAAATATATGAACGACCTTTCTATGAACATGAACTTGAATCATTTATTGATACGTGCAGAATTGCTCTTTTTGAGATTCAGAAGAATGATCGATATTATCGACAGGGAAAATTCCTTGAAAAAGATAAATAATCCCGGAATCTACGACGATTCCAATGATTCATTAATCAAAATTAGCCCTGCATTAAGAGAATTATTATCAAAGAAGCTTGTAATTCAAAAAGAGACAGAAAGACCTGAGGGGGTGGGTGGAGGTTAAATTCATCCATTGATCAATTCATCATTCATTTAATTTTATTATTTCTTTAGTTACTAATGTCTGTTCAAAACCTATAATATACTATTGACGTTATATTGTTTTCAGTTATATAGCATTCATACATATGTCAAATTTAATGAAGTACACGTGCAGTCTAACTCATCGCCCAACGCCATTTGCGATACTATTATATATTCGCTTAAATTCCATTATTATGCGCATCCAATATTACGATTTGTGGACGGTTCTTACAAGCTCAGAGGGTTATCATGAGTGCTAAGAAACCGTTGAATAACGAGTCGTATCAGATTTATGGAGAAGAGGATGATGACTACTACTATGAAGAGGAATATGTAATGAGTAAACCTGTAAAAATAACGGTATATGGGTTATTCGTTTGTGTTTGTGTTGGATGCATTTGGTTTTTTGCTATTTTTTTACCAGGTTACTTTATACCTGAGGCGAGAGATTTGGAGGGTATAACTAAGGTCACGGACTTGTCAGTTGCATTGAGACCATTAAACGAGGGTCGAGTCAAGAAATTGGGGTTGTGGGACGGTGCGAGAGATGCCTATGATAATGACGGTGAGACACGGGATAACGAAAGTGAAAGTGACGAGGAACTTGAAATCGGAGAGAGTGGAAACGATATGGAAGGTGACGTGGAGATTGACCTGAAAAGAGTCGTTGAGAGAATAATACTCATTGGCGATGTTCATGGACATTATACAAAGCTTCGGAAGTTACTTCGAAAACTTAACTTCAGACGTCGCACTGACCATGTACTCATGTTGGGAGATTTCATTGCCAAGGGACCCGATTCTATCAAGGTTTTAGAATTTGCAATCGATAATAATATCGATTGCATACTTGGAAACCATGAATTATACGTCTTACGGAACTATGCTCAATTTCACCAATTAGATGCGCCTATGTTCGTCAAAGACGAAGCAGATATAGGTATCGAAGGTCTGTTTAATGAGGATCCTGAATATCTTTTGGCGAAGAAATTAGAGCCTCATCATATTGATTATATTAATAAGTGTCTGGTAATCAAAAAACTAGGCAAAGTACCATTGCATGGTCCAAATCAAGATGGTGGCTTCAAATACACCAATGGGGTTGCTGTACATGGCGGTGTCCGTTGGGACTTACCTTTCGAAGAACAAGATTCCGAGAAGTGTTTGGAAATGAGATCTTATATCGGCCCTTACTTTAACGAGTCGACTGACGATCCATTCGAAGAAAATGCCGTGTCGTGGTCTAAAATATGGAACAAGAAACAAAAGGAAATACCTAAGAAAGATGCCCACGTTGTTTATTACGGCCATGATGCCAGAAGAGGCCTTATGTTAAAGAAATACTCCAAGGGACTCGATACTGGCTGTTTCAAAGGTGGTCGCCTAACATCGATGGTCATTTGGAACGAAAAAATTACCACCTCCAAAGGTGAATCAAAAATTTTGCATAAAGAAAAAATAGTCAGCGTTTCGTGCTAGCTTCCTTCTAGTACAGCATATCTTATTTTATTTTACAATAGCTATATAGTTTGGACAGTAATGTCCCAATATTATTTATATTCATGAATTCTTAAATACATATTCATTAGAGCTTATTTGTTACTTTGCTGGCAATTCAGTTTTATCCGTATAATTTTATATCTTCACTCAACATCTCAAAATTTCTAATATTTTTAATATCGCTACATGAAAATTTAGCCATTTATATTAACTATCAGATATTTGTATATTTACCTTAGTATGTTTCAAAAATGCTGGCTATTGCCAATGGTTCCAGGATTTTGCAGCTGGGTGTACTTGTGTTTTCCCAATTGATCAACAAATTGGGTCATGCACGCTTATTGTGTTAAAACATCAAAACACCTCCTTTTGTTTTTATGTTATTCTTCTTTAATTATCCATATAATTATATGAAATAAATAAATAAATCTTGATTATGAGTTTTCATACCATTGAGTATTCAGCTGGGATGGTTTCGCCTAGTTCGAACAACCAATTAGCGCTTGGAAATGTGCAAAGTGGAGCGGCCGCGTCGCATGGGATTTTTACGTACGATGGAGGTATTCCTATGCTATTTTTCGTCCCATTTAACGACCCAAATAGATACGAGTACAAGCAGAAGATAATTAGTCATGGGGGAATTATCACGGATACCGAACCTAACGAGTCTACTGGTAATAGAATTATATTGTTAAGTTCGTTTAATATAAGGGGACAATTATGCTTCAAGTTGAGTTTTATTGACGACTCCATTAAGAATAATGGGGTTTGCGATTTGAGTAATTATAAGTATCAGATTCCAGAGGTATACGATCCATCTAGTATTTCTGGCCAAAATAAGATTATCAAGATTAATTCAGAAGGCGATGGGGCAGGTCAGAATGACGCAGCAGCATTTTCAAATGTGATTAGCAGAAATGTTAGACCACCACCGATGAGAACATCACGCCGGTTCAATGACTTGAAAGATGAATATATTTTGAAGCAGATTAGATTAAATCCAAGACTAAGAAATAGTCATAAGTTCTTTGACGGTTTAGCAACTCATGACGTTTTAAAAGGTCACACTGGTAACTCAATTAGAAGTAGATATAGAAATCACTTAGAGTCTAGGTTGGCATATGTTTATAAAACCGATGAAGATGGTGCATTGATTAAATCTGCCGATGGAAAGAATATTAGGGAAAGTCTTGAAAATTTACCCAAGACTTTGAAGAATAGGTTTACGGCATTAGAGGATTTCAACTTGTGTACTGAGTTAATTGAGTATAGCAGACAAAAATATTACGAAGATTTAGAGTCTGGTGCAGTTGAAAAGGACGAAGATGGTAAGCCAAAGCCTTTTGACTTATATCAAGAATTCACAGCGCCAGTGTCATTCTTTACAATGATGGCCAAAACTTATCCCAGTCACTCATACCATTCATGGAGAGATAGATACAGAAAGTTTGTTCGCCAATATGGCGCACAGAAATATATTGATGATTATAATAGATCAATTCAAAATGGTGAAACTCCCGAACAAATGAAGAATTTCACCGGGAAAAAGGCAGGGCTAACCAGGGGATTTAAAGAATTGATTGGATCGAGCTACAATGATAATTACAGAGCATTGCCATCAAACGAAAATGCCAGAGATGATGAAACAATAGATGAAAAAATAAAACAGATAAGATCTTCGGATTATGAAGGAGCTGCAGGGAATGTTGGTGAAATTCAGGAAGCTGAAGGGGGACCAAATAATGATCTTGAGCAAGTAATTGAATCACAATCGCAACCAGAATCACAATCACAAGGTCAAGGCGGATCCGTTCTTGAATCTCAATCGACATCACAGATGTGGTCGAATTTCGATATTAAATACCTCCCTCAAGGCATTACGCTTGAAGATTTATTTAACAAAAACTTTTATAAAATTGCACCTAGTGAAATAAGTTCAAAGGTGGAAACAATCTTAAACGATATCGAGCTATCTGCTCCAGCTTTATTGCTTAAATCATTCAATGAAATAGGTATTAATGACGTTTTTACAGCTCATTTAATTATGGCGTCCTCTGGAGATATTGTGAATATGCAAGTGTTCATTGATAAATTTTTGGATTTGATTCCACATTTGCAGGAAGATCAACTTTACGACGGGTTACAAATCGAGGATACGGATGGTATATGGACCAATAAACTTGACAGTTATTTACTCAGTGGTTCGAAACAGGACATGAAGAAATTACAAGCAATTCAAAGTCCACATTCCATCGATGCTAGAAGACTTTTCCTTGAAAAATTTGCCTGATTATGGTTAGATGTTTATTTTGTCAGATCAAAATATATAGTAATAGGCTTATATATTAGTGTATTATAATGTATAATATTGTTTAATGTTCAAACATACTTCATTTAAGTCTAATTGTTTTATTGCAAAGGCAGTTCTACAAAGCGATTAGTAAATAATATTTATTACTTGGGATATCAAAACAAGAAACAATAATATAACAAAAATAAAAGTAGAGTAGAACTCATAACTCGAAATAAATCAGAAAATTTTACCGACTACGAATTTAAGAAGAGTAGATACCCCAGTACTTTTCAGCATTGTAGGCACCATCAGCCTTCCATAAATCGTTGAAGGCAGTGAATAAAGTGACAGCATCACCACAGGTATCCTTGATGGAGTCAATAGCAGACTTTTGGTTAGAAGTAGATGGGACGGCAACACCATTGCTGTCACCCTTTGATGGCCAACCGGTTTCAGTAATGAAAACATCCTTGCTACCACCACAGGCAGTAGCAACTCTTTGGATTTGTTGTAAGACCCATGTACCAGCTTGTTCAGCAGAGACGTGACCATCGAAGAAAGCGTGAGCGTTAACAGCAATGTAATCAGAGTGGTCACATAAGTCTGGGTTGTTAATGACAGCAATGAAAGTGTCAACAGAAACAACCTTACCAGTGTAACCGGCACTCTTTAAAGCAGCCTTACCGGTCTTAACGTATTCACCAATTTGAGAGGCGGTAGCTTCACCGTTGTTGACTAATTCGTTACCGATGGAAACGGTGTAAATGTCATCCCATGAACCACTGGACTTGACAGCAGAAGCTAAGCTTTCAATACCAGACTCAATGTTGCTAACATCGTAAATACCAGCGAAAACCTTTTGGGAAGAAGTCTTGGCAGATAAGACTTGAGCAACTTGGTCACAGTCAACACCGTACAATCTGATAATGTCGAAACCGGAAAGTTGGGAGACTTCCTTTTGGATTTGAGAAGATGACTTACAGCCACCATCGTTGGAGTAAGGAGTATAAGTGATACCCTTGGCACCACCAGCACCGACACCGGAAGAAGAAGATTCAGAACCGCTGCTTGAAGATGAAGCACCAGTGGATTCAGAAGCAGAACCGGTGGTGGTTTGAGTTTCAAAAGTAGATGGGTTGCTGAAACTGCTTGGTCTAATTTGAGCAGCTTCGGTGGCAGAAGTAACATCAACAGCAGAGGTACTGACTTGAATTGGTTCGGTGTAAGTGTTGGCACCAACAGTGACCTTAACGACACTGGTTTGGGTGACAACCTTAACATCCTTCTTTTCCATCTTGTGTTCGTGATGTTGATGTTGTTGTAATGGTTGGGCTAAAACGGCACCAACTAAAGCAGCGCTAACGAAAGACTTGAATAACATAATGTAACTAGTTGAATATATCTAGGTATTATCTAGGGATATAAAGATAATAAGGAACGACTGTAGAAATACCTGAGTAATATGAAGAAACAACCTAAACTAACAAACTAATTGAAAGGGATTTTGGCTTGTTTATAAAACGTGAAACCCGCCGACAAGGAAAATTTTCGCATCTGAAAATCGCTTGATTTTGTGTTTCGTTTATTTTTCATTTTGATTAGGAAGGCAAACCACGAATCTCGAATCGGGAGAAGCCACTAAAAAAAGGGAGGCTATTGTTTGAAATGGGAAGGTGCATATCTCCCGCAGGACGAAGAATACTATTATACTACCTATAAGAGTGTATGCGTCTGAGAACAGAGAAGGGGTAATATAAAGGACAAGGGGTGGGTGTATAGTAGTATTGTCAAAACAATTTAACGACTTATACGGAAGAGAAGTAAATAAATAAAACATTAGGGGTGTAGGGATGGTTGAGCCAACGATGAGAAGTAGATGGTATTGCGACAGTTACAGGATGGGATGTTTGAGACAGTACGAGACACTGCTGGACCGTCAATAGACTACCAGGAGGTCCATTTCGGTATATTACATTATCTTTGTCTACAAGTGCGTTTTCTGACGGCTAGGGCAGATCTAGGCTGCCGAGTTCTAAGTCAAATGCCGCTTGCGTGAAGCATCGAATGCAAATAAAAAATCATCGATACTGGACATCAGGCAGATATGGCTCGCTAATACCAAGATTTACAAGAGATATCGGTTCGTATCCGTACCCATTTTGGAGTTTACATGTCCCTATTGGTTGGTCTCAACGGTTTAAAATCAGACAATTTATCGAATTCATCTTTTAGGTTTGGTTGCACGTAGCTATGAGCGTGGGTATTGGGTTTTATGTATCTTATATATTTATTATTTGTGCGTTTCGGTATATGTAAGATCAAACTTTTTCCTAATCGGATAGATTGACAACCGGATTTGGTGGTGACCCGAATATAGGTCTATATAACCGGTGAAAGCCGAGGGCGACAATAGGCTCGGCGGAATATTAGGAGCTAATCGGGGTGAAGTGACATCATCAGGTTTTAGTATTGGTGCACGGGTGTAATGCTCTAATTACCGCACCTGGTGTTATTACGCACTTGAAACTGCACCGGCTTGGCGCAAGAATTGGTTAGGACCGCGGGGATGCGCCTATTGCGTTCAAAGTGCGACTGTAGCGAGTTGGCATGGCGGTATGGTTGCCCTGCGATTTCACGCTAAGGAGTCAAAGGGGGTGGTGGGTGTATGGGTTTCGCGACTCTGATGGCGGTTGCACAGTAGTGAGAATTTACACGAATCGAACGAGGCTGCGAAGAGGCTGCGAAACGGCAACGTATCAAGTACCTGCCACTGCCAACTTGAACTTGAACCTTGGGTTCGGTACCAGAATGATGCAGACTTGTAACATGTCGGTCAAGTGGGCTGGTGCAAGCATACCTCTGTGACGGGTGAGACAAATGCAACAGGAATGAGAGGCCATGTGAATGAATGGATCAAACAGAGAGAGATGGAATGTGTCAGTCGACTGACAAGACCTATGTGATATTTCGCTATTCATATAGATTCTCCGATGGACCGATGAGTGGTAAGTACAGTATAGTAATCTTCTAATGTTTGGTGCATTGGTTTCGCCATATAAACATCAATACACCACAAATACTTATAGTTGCTAATCACGAGGACATCATCACTAATTGACCCGATATATGATGACAGACCATGTATACCGTCATATCTATATAGTGATCCAGATACAAAGAGAGCTTATTAGTATCTTTTAGTAAGGGTGATTTATAGTATTTATCGCATTTGTTTAGAGTTAGAGCAATTGGTTGCATCTTACGATTATTACAATCCTACGAGTTTTAGTATCCTTATTTTTAAAAATATTAGAGGGTGCGATTTTATTTTAGTTTATCTAATTCATTTATAAGATCTAATATCAATTGAAAAGTGGCGGTTAACAAATCAGTGGATCCTGGTTCAAAAAGAAGTTTTTCAAACATGCTTAGCGAATCTCCTAGTGACAAGGAAAATATGATTGCGGAAGTCGATCCTGATAAGAAGCAATTTGCAGGCGATAATGAGGTGATTGAGATCGAGGATGATCCCATGGAGGTGGATTTAGATGACGACGATGACGATGACGATGATGAAGAAGATGAAGAAGACGATGAGGTTGTGATTGTGGATAATCCGACCAGTGTCAAGCAAACGACTTCACAACTTCCTGCGGCTAATCAGTTCAAGGAGTTAGCCGACCGGTTGATGAAGCCATTGCCAGACTATCCGGTAAAAGAGCAGGCGTATAATGTTTGGGAAATCAAGGATTGGTCTGCGTTAAAAGACGATAAAATTAGAGGCCCTAAGTTTACATGTGGAGGCTACGAATGGAACATCTTGTTATTCCCCAGAGGTAACAACAACAACCAATTGTCGCTTTATATAGAACCACATCCAATCAATCTTCCTGGGGAAGAGAAGAAGCAGTGGTACGTTTGTGCTAAGTTTGGTTTAGACTTGTGGAACCCAAATGATCCAACAGCTCATTACTCTAGTGGCTCATATCATAGATTCAATGAAAACGAAACCGATTGGGGGTTTTCATCATTGATTGATTTAAGACAATTGAAGTCTGTTTTGAAGGATCACAAGCGTCCTATCTTGGAAAACAACCAGATCAATATTACTGCTTATATTAAAGTCATCGACGACTCATCCACCGGAGTATTGTGGAGTACCTTTGGTGACTATGATTCGAAAAAGAGTACAGGGTATGTTGGTTTGAATAATCAGGGGGCTACATGTTATTTAAATTCATTATTACAATCCTATTTTACAACAAAAATATTCAGGAAATTGGTATACCAAATTCCAATTGACTTAAATAAAAATTTGTCCTCCGTTGCATTCTCATTACAAAAAATATTTTATCTTTTGCTGAATTCCAATGAGCCTGTCGGAACATTGGAGTTAACAAAATCGTTTGGTTGGGATTCTTCTGATGCATTTACCCAACATGATGTTCAGGAGTTGAACCGTATTTTGATGGATAAATTAGAAACTGCGATGAAATCTACTCCTATCGAGAGTTGTCTAAATGATATCTTTGTGGGTAAGATGAAATCCTATATCAAATGTTGCAATGTTCCTTACGAATCTTCTCGTGTCGAGGACTTCTGGGACATTCAATTAAATGTTAAGGGCTTCAAGAACTTACTGCAGGCATTTAAAAATTATATTGAAATTGAAATGTTAGAAGGCGAGAATAAATACCAAGCAGGTGATGAATATGGTTATCAAGATGCTAAAAAGGGTGTGGTCTTTGAATCATTTCCACCTGTCCTTCATTTACAATTGAAAAGATTCGAATATGACTTCATGGTGGATGACTTAGTAAAGATTGATGACTTCTATGAGTTTCCAGACTCAATTGACTTAAAGCCGTACCTTGATGAAGATTTGCCTACAGAAGTCAAAAATGGAAACTGGACTTATAAGCTACATGGTGTTTTGGTACATCAGGGTAGCATTTCTAATGGCCACTATTATGCTATGATCAAACCATATGCAAAGAAAGATACTTGGTTAAGGTTTGATGATGACAAGGTTTGGAAAGTTACACCTTACCAAGTTTTCCAAGAAAATTTTGGTGCCAGAGAATTGTCACCACAAGAATTTGCTAAATTATCAAGAGTCGATCAAAATGAAAATTTGGTTAGAAGGGCAACTTCTGCTTATATGTTGGTTTATTATCGTGAATGTGAATTAGATAAGATCTTGCCTGAAGATGAGGAGTCGATTAACAAAGTTATACCCAGTACTATTTCAAACCAAATAGAAAATGAACTAAAAGAATTGGAGAGTATTGAAAAGGCTAAACAAGAAGCGTTGTATTATTTAAATGTTAAATTTGTTACTCTGAAGAATTTTAACAACTTTAATGGTTTTGATTTATATCCTGATCCTACAATTCAAAAATTGTATGATGAATCTTTAGTTGATGAAAATACAGTACCTATTACATTAAAGGTTAAAAAGGATGATAGCTTTCTAAGCCTATATAAATTGATTGGAACTCAGCTAGGTTACATTAGTGATGACACAGATACTAATACCAAAGACTTTGTTAAGGATCTACCATTTAGATTGATCTTGATCAATCATCGTAATAATCATACAAATAGAACTGATGCACCTGTTCCAGATGAGTTAATGGATGCCACAATTAATTCTATATATTTAAAGTGCTTTAATAGGAAATACGATGAGATGGTATTCTATGTGGAAGAATTGAACAAGGATTTGAAAAATATAAACAAATTAATTAAAGCTGATTCCAACCCACCTGAGAATTTTTCTTTTAAAAAAGTCTTTCAAAATCTTGATTCAGTTCAGCATTTGAAATCGGGCCAATTCAAATTTGATGATATTTCGGATCAAACATCGTACAAGACAATATTCTTGAAATATTTTGATCCTATTTCGAATGATATTAAAGGTTTAACACATATTACTGTCGTCAAGGATGATATTATTGATTCATTGACTAAGCCTGTCAACAAGTTGTTAGGATTCCCTGAAGCAACAGTGTTGAATTTTTATGAAGAATTATCTCCATTGAAAATTGATAGTATTGATCCAGCTGTTACCTTTGAAAAGCAAGAATTAAGTAATGGGGATATTATATGTATTGAGGTTAATGACATTGATAAAATTCCAATAGGCGGCAAACATGCCAATGCTAAAGAATATTATAAATTCCTTTTCACTAGGTTACATATTCAAGTAAAACCTTTTAAGGCTGATGAAGAAGAAGAGGATAGTGATTTTGTTGTTGATGAGAATGATGTTGAAAATAATGATAATGATACTCTGACTGGTCCAAATAAAAAGGGTGTAGAGAAAGCACACAAACATAATGCTGCCTTTGACCTTTGGATTTCAACTCAATATAGTTACAATGAATTAGCCAAGGAGTTAGCAAATAAGTTAGGAAGCCATATTGACCCAGAGTACTTGAGGATTTTCATAGTGAATTACCAAGGTGTCAGATATCCTTTGAAAACTTCAAACCATTTATCACAGTTCTTCGCAAAGCTGGTGCCGGTTTCACAAATAACTACCTTTGAGTACGAAGTTTTAAACATTACGTTGAACGAATACGAGAATAAGAAGTCAATTAAGATTTACTGGTTGAATAATATTATTCAAAGCCAATTATTTGACTTTCTTATTCCTAAGGATGGTACGATATACGATTTAATGAATAAGCTATTAAATAAGGTTAATGTTCCAGAAAATCAATTAAATAATATCTTGGTGTGGGCCGGGCATGATCATAAATATACTGAGTTGATTAAATTTGACAGATCGATTGATTCTATTAATGATAACTTTGAATTGTATGCTGGAATTTTCCCAATCGAAGTGGAGATATTGGTAAACTATGATATGATTAAAAGTTTCAATGATAAGCCAATTAATATAGTTGATATTGAAGACGAAGATACTAAGCTGGAACTTTTAATGGCCAGAAACTTTTCTAAGAATTTAAACATGATTCCTGTGTTTCATTTTTACAAAAACAGTAATTACCATCATGGTATACCATTTGTTTTCCCTGTTTACCCAAATGAAAAGTTTGCCGATACAAAGAAAAGACTTCGTAAGAAGTTGGGCTTGGGTTTGCAAGCATTCGAAAAAGTTAAGTTCGCTCTAGCAGATTGCAACGACAAGGGTTGTTATATTGAACAAGGGAACCATGATTTAGTATTATACGACGAAATCGGTAAATATGAAAATTCTGTTTCTTTGGCTATAGACCACCCTGATAGATCTCCTCGTCGGATTTCTCAATTTGATAAAGGTATTTCAATTAAGTGATGTATTAGAAAAATAATTTATTTCGTCGTACATAATGTGGCAAGTAGTATATAGTTTATTCTATTTATAAAATAAGTCCTATTTGTAATGTTTCGTATATTCCTGTTTTCGAATGTCAGTAGAACTGAGTTTTCCAAGCCAATTGTTCTGTTCATTGCTGTTCTCGTCACCAATCACATTTATTACGATAACATCGAGCTCAGGGTATGCTTTTTCTCTCCTAGTTTTATTCACAAAGTCACCTCCTTTCGATGATTCTTCACTTACAACTAATGCGTCAATATTCTTGATGTAACCTGTAGGTCCACAGACATCATTTATTTGAAAAATTTCAAACGTAATGGCGTAATTGAGTACCTTCTGTAAGTACGCAACCACACGTAACTGTCTTGTTTCATAACTTTCCAACACTTCAGAGTACTTCTTGTTTATTAATAATTTGGGGCCTGTAATCCCAATAATGACAGTCTTGCATGTTAAAAATACAGCTAGCGATAATAAGATTTTATGGCCATCATGCAAATGATCAAAAGTTCCTCCAACCGCTGTAACATCATATTCTTGGTGCTTCTTGAATTTACTCTTCTTATTCGATTTTGCTATCTTATATACCTTGGTTTTAATACCCTGCGTCTTTATATCAGTTAATTCTTTTGGAATGACTGATTCTTCATCACTTATATGAATAATCTTATTCAAACTTTCTCTTAGACCGCTATAGCTTTCTTGATTAAAGAGGACATCTATTTCAAAAGTATAATCCCATCCTAAATCAAACGCTTTTCTTCGTAACCTATTATATATTTTTGATAGGCAGAAATTTAAATCATCAGATATCTGGATATATTGACTTATAATTATATCAATTGTTGAAAGCGATGGGGTTTCTTTATGTAAGCCTTCAAGGACAATGCTAAAAAAGTCATCATAATCGTATTGAAGAGGATCTTTAATTAATATAGCCGGGTGTTTTGATGTCATTGTATGTAATGAATAGGTTTATTGGTTTACAATCTTTATCTTCTTTGCTGGTGAAATAATATATATATACAGGTACGAGGAGTTTGCAACTTTTACAGATATTCTATATACAACAATTCAGTGAATCGATAAGTAACATGCTGAAGCATACGAATCGAGCTTGTCTAAGGCGGCTTCGTCTGTCGATTTTAATTGAAAAATCAGCTTTAAGGACAACATTAATTTAACATCCTTTCTATCTAATGATTGCGAATTTTTCAATGCTTCATAAACAATTTCCATTGACTTCAAGATTGGTTCACTGTAAACAATCTTCTCTCTTCTATCAATTAAATTCCTGGGTCTATAAAGTAATATACCAGATTTAATGATCATTTTGTGGTAAGTAAGTTCATCTGAATTTTCGACTTCAGACCAAGTACTTCTATAAAGTCGTTCAATAATTCGATTATAACTTTCAACATAATCATTGGATACAATAGATTTTTTTCTTTGTCCACGGGTTTCATGAACCATCAAACAATCCATGAATTTTATTAATGATGGCAAAATCAGTTGCAATTGGGATCCAGTAATAGATTTTTTTGGTGTGTTATTGGGTATATTCTTTTGCCTCTTTTCAAGGAATTGTCTGTTATAATTAGAATCATTATAATGATGCAATTGCTTCATAAAAACAGAAAAAATCGAATCTATTGTCTTAGGCCTTGGGGATAACGTTTTGCTGATATTTGTGGATGGATTAACCAAAGATGCAAATATCTCGGTGGCCAAGTTACTGGGTGCATCTCTATTGAAACTCTTACTGACCTTAAAAATAAAATTCTCAATCAACATTATATCAACTGTTTCTGCTTCATGTTCTGGAGTTAATTCAAGCTTCTTTTGAGGTGTTATATCAATGAAGCTTTTATTAGAACTAACATCATCTAGGGTGTTCTTATCGCTGACGTCTGTTTTTTTTGGGTATATGTAATGTGGGAAATAATCTTCGGATAAAACACCTTTTGAGACCCCGATGTCATTGGCCACCTTCAAAATGTCAGTCCTACTTACATATATCCCTCCCCATTTGGTCAAGCAATACCATATAGCTAAATAAAATTCTTTCGACTTTCCTAATTGTAGCAAACCATCCAAAGTTTGCATCAATATAAACTTGTTAATTCCATTCTTTTTATTCAATGTAACATTGGAGGATTGTGGTAATTTTTTACCAAATTTCCCTCTAGAAGTTTTGTACTGCTTATCTAGCAAGATCGACCTAATATCTTCAAAAGTAGGACGAGTAAAATCTACTAGCCTCTTCTGCTTTCCACTGAAAATAGCTTTTGTTTTGTTATGGGAAAGTAATGGAGGTGGGAAAATAACTAGTGGATTAATTTTTGAAGGCTCTAATTGTTCAGGTGTTATAATAGATTGTGGAAGTATATCATCGACAACAACACCTTCTTCAAGAAATTTAAGGTCTGACTTTTCACAAAAATCAATAGCATTCTTCAAGCGTGAGTCTGTACCAATTTTAAGCGTATCACTAGGTTTTAATAAGACATAATCATTATCTTTGCTTGCTTTTTCAACAAAATGAAATAGAGACTGAACTTCAGGGCACCAAATGCTCAAGTACTTTAAACCACTTTGAATATACTTATAATGGGAACCTGAATTGATATCAAGGCCAGTACCCGCACTATTATTTATAAAACAAGATACGAAAACTGATACAAAAGTTTGGTCAATATCAACTAACCGACGTTTCATTTTTTGTCTATAAGTGATGAGACAGTCAGGATTTTCTTCAACTTCTTCCTTCGTTGGGGGAACAGGTGGAGTTGCAGCAGCTGTAATTTTTCCCAATATTAATTCAGCAATCTGGATCAACTTTCCTTGTATCTGAAGTAATCTTAAAGTTTTGACCTGCTTTGTTAAGTTGTCATTGTTAATAATTAATTCTGAATTATGCTGAGAGTATTTTTTAATACCATTTAAAAAAATAGTGAATGTTTGACTGTCTGCAATCAATGCTGAGCTTGAACCATTATTACCAGGAAGTAAAAGATCGAAAAACGTCCATGCATACTGTTGACCATTCTTAAAATTCTTCAATAATAAACTTAAGCAGGAATTAAAGTGGATAATAGTACATTTAGATCTCTTGTCAGCTTTCAACTCGTTAGACTGTTTTGCCTTAGTGCTTGAACTTTCTTTAAAGCTTTCAAATATTTGCATACATTTTTCAGCCATATCATCGGAAACCTTTCCCCACTCATGAGCTTTTGCTAACCCATCAAAAAATATTGTATAAGTATGTTCAGTTATTGGAATCCCCCACTTCTTACGATCTTGAAAATTTCTAAACGCAGCCTTTGTGTCGCCTCTTTCTAATAACCACTGGAGAACAGCATTCATCCCAACGACACCACTCTCTGAGCCCGCAAGTTTTGCCAAATAAACAGCTCTTGAAATTTCCCTATCACGTTCAAGCAATTTAAGAACATCTCTTGTTACTAAAAAAGGATCATTAAGCTGTGTGGTATTCGTGCCCAAAAGTTTCAAAATTAATTTCTCATCTAGTGACTTTCTATTAATTTTTTTAATGTTAACTAATGCTTTGAATATACTAAGTGACTTCTGAGAATCGATATTCAAATCGGATGGAGTTAATTTTTCTGTGGATATGATTTCTCCAGAGTCTGTCTGTAGAATATTGTCATATTTGGATCTTAATACCAATAGAGCTTTCTGCAGAGAATATGATCCCAGGTTTATTTTGTATGACAGTTTTTCTTTTATCTTGCTTATTCGTTTTTGGTACTGATTCGGAGAATATTTCAATATTTGGCCCGTCTCTAGAAAATAGTTCAATTTAGTCTTGACATGAGATTTATATACCTTTGGATCTAATTCTTTTGTCACTGCCTTTGCATTTTTTAAAGTACTGCTAAAGTTCCTATAAATAGACAAATTAGCCACTCTTGATCCATAAGCAGATCGTATCCTTAACATTCGAAATCTAGTATCTTGCTGTGTCTTCCTTAACAGATTCAAATAGATAAATATTTTTGAGTGCGCTTTTTCAATGATCATCTCAAAATGAAGTTATCAATGCTTAATTTTTCAGATTCCAGCATTAAAAATAATCTATAAACATGTCAAAAAATTCGGCAGAGTATAAAGAACTACTTGATTTGAAATCTAGTGGCAAGTATGTTCCTCCAGCAAAGTTGAAAGCGCTACAAACAAAAATCAGCAATTCATCTGAATCAACAAGTGAAGAGTATCAAGTGGTACAGTGGGAACAATTAAAACGATCCATTAACAGACAAGTAAATAAATGCAATGTATCAAATGTACGTGAAATAGTGATTGAGTTATTCAAATTGAATTTGCACAGGGGAAAGGGTTTGTTGATACGATCAATAATGAAAGCACAATTAACAGACTTGATATTTACACCAGTATATGCATCCTTAATAGCAGTATTGAACTCCAAAATCCCAGAAATAGGGGAATTGATGCTTAATCGTTTGCTTCTTCAATTTCGGAAAAATTATGTTAAAAACAAGAAGAATTGTATCTCATCTGCAATTTTCTTGGTGCATCTTATAAATCAGAGAGTGTGCAGCGAAATACTAATCTTGCAAATTCTTCAGTTATTGCTTGAAAATCCCACAAACGATTCTATAGAAATATGTGTGGAGATAATGAATCAAGTTGGTAAATACTTGCAAGAGAACTCTGTAGCTGCAAACAACATGATATTTAACAGGTTAAGAATTATACTACACGAGAATGAAAATATAAATGATAGGAGTCAATTCTTGATTGAGAACCTATTCAAGACTAGAAAAGATGGTTATTCTCAGTATCCAAGTATAAAGAAGGAATTAGATTTGGTAGAATTTGACGATCAAGAAACCCATATACTTGAATTAGATGCTAAAGTTAAATCTAATGACCAACTAAACATATTTCAATTTGATGAAAGATATAATGACCATGAGAAACAATATGATGCTGTGAGGAAAGACATATTGGGTGATAGTGATGAAGAAGATGATGAGAGTGATGAAGAAGAGAGTGAAGAAGACAACAAAGAAATTCTTGAGATAAAAGATATGACAGAATCAAACTTACTCAACTATCAAAAGACCGTGTATTTGACTGTTATGTCAAGTATGTCATCGGATGAAGCTGTTCACAAATTGATAAAACTAAATTTTAAAAAATCAAACGAAGAAAAGTACAAGAATAACGAAATATTAGTAGATATGATTATCAAGTGCTGCTCACAAGAGAAAACATACTCAAAGTACTATGGGGTAATCGGTGAAAAATTGTGCTCGATGAATAAGCATTGGCATACGATTTTTGTTGATACATTTAAAAAGTATTATAGCACAATCCATCAATTCGAAACAAATTCATTGCGGAATATAGGTAAATTTTTTGGGCATTTGTTTGCGCTGGATAAATTAGCTATAGAAAAAAGCTGGAACATCATTAAACTCACAGAAGAAGATACCAATTCTGCAAGCAGAATTTTCATCAAATTTATATTTCAAGAAATCATTGAAGAGATCGGTATAAAGGGCCTACAGGAAAGACTCGATGACGATCTAATTAGAAAGGAAACAAATGGTTTGTTTCCGAGACAAGACGTCACATATAGGGATGCGGAAAATATCAGGTTCTCTATTAACTTTTTCACGGCAATTGGTCTAGGTGTATTGACTGAAGAAATGAGAGACGTTTTGAAAAACTTACCGCCAGAAGAACGAGGTAGAAGTCACAGTATTTCTGGTAGCTCCAGAAGTGGAAGCTCAAGTTACTCAAGAAGCCGAAGCTATTCTCGAAGCTCTGGAAGTTATAGTCGCTCAAGAAGTAACTCAAGAAGCCGCTCAAGAAGTCGTTCGGAGAGCCTTACGAGAGGTCGGACAATGTCTCGCGACAGAAGTAGAAGCTTCTCCCGTAGTAGGAGCACCAGTAGAAGCAGAGGTGATTCCTTTTCGCGATCGCCTAGCCGATCGCCTAGCCGATCGCCCGCTGACTCAAAACGACTCAAACCAAATTGATCTTTTTTTGTTCCCTCGGACATATCGGGGCCTCGAACGCAACCATCATGCTCAGCATTGTTCTCGATAAACTTGCGGTTGATTTATTCCTTTGCCTTGATTCCTTTGCCTTGCCTCCTGAATGTCTTCCTTACATGCGTCATCCTTTAACTATGGTATGCAACGATGGTTCAGCGTATATTCTCTGTGATGAATGACACTCCAACGGGTGCAAAAAAGCCTAATTTATCGGCTTATTCCGGTTGGCACGCTTTGTCGCAACCTCAAAAATCTTCATCAAAACTATACTCATACTGTCTATATAGGCTATAATATTAATATCACGACGACGAATCGTATTACAATGCTGGTCTTGGCCCCTGTGCTTGCTTCGTAGTTCAAGGAACAAACATAAGTGATGAATTTCAACTGTAGCTATAAATATAAAGTTCCTGTATATAACTGTAGCCAATGATATTGCACTCGTTAACAATTATGAGAAATTTTCACCTTGATTGGTACATATATAAAAGGCAGAATGTTTGGCTTTATTCACAACTAGTTGAATTTTCTCATTTTAATATATTAATTCTTTATATTTCATAAACACATAAAATGCCAGCTCCATACGAAAAGGGTTCAGAAAAGAAGGGTGCTAACTTATTCAAAACCAGATGTTTACAATGTCACACTGTTGAAGAAGGTGGTCCAAACAAGGTTGGTCCAAACTTACACGGTGTTGTTGGTAGAACCTCCGGTCAAGCTCCAGGTTTCTCATACACTGATGCTAACAAGAAGAAGGGTGTCGAATGGACTGAACAAAACTTGTCTGACTACTTGGAAAACCCAAAGAAATATATCCCAGGTACCAAGATGGCCTTCGGTGGATTAAAGAAAGCCAAGGACAGAAACGACTTGATTACTTACTTGGTCAAGGCTACCAAATAAGCTATTTATTAGATGTTGAAAAGTTGTACTCGTAGCTTTTGTACAAAGATTTGTTTTAAGACCTCGAATTAACTAGTTACACTAATCTGTATATACATGAATATTATTTACCAACGATGTTAGATTACAATGTTTGCTGTAGAGAACACTCTGTTAGTGGCTGGTCTTGATTGTAGGAAGGACTTAAAGAAAACGGATAGGCGTGCGCACGTGACGCGATATGGTTGAAAAGTTCGCCAACACTTAACACCACCGTTAGAGGGACACCAAACGACATACACGATTAGGGACAGGATGAACGACTTCAAAATCCCAGTAGAGGTTGATCCGACAGAAGATACAGAGTGGAATGATATCTTAAGAAGTAAGGGTATTATCCCTGAAAGGCCACCTTCACCTACAGAAGAATTGGAAGCTGCTTTAGAAGAAGCTGTCAAGAAGCAGCATGAGAACAGATTAGAGAGCAAAGACATGGATGATTTGGACGAGTTGGAAGACGATGAAGATGAGGAGTTCTTGAATTTTTATAAAAACAAAAGAATGGAAGAGATCAAAAAATTAAGCGAAAAGCAGAAGTTTGGATCGGTCTTTCCAATAGCCAAAAATGAATACGAACAGGAGGTGACACTTGCGTCTGCTGAATGCTTTGTACTCTTACACATGTCGTTACAATCGAGTCTTCAGAGCAGACTCTTGTCATCTTTGTTGACATCGTTGGCTGTTAAGTTCCCCGAGATTAAATTCTGTGATATTCCTGCTACAAGATGTATTGAAAACTACCCCGAGTCCAATTGTCCTACCTTAATCATCTATCACAATAAAGATGTGATCAAGCAATACGTGACGTTGACCCAATTGGGTGGTAACGATACAAAAATAGGAGATTTGGAACGGGTTTTAGTGGATATAAATGCTGCAGATATCAACGATAAGAGATTATTAATAAACCAGGAAGATGAGGATATTGAAGAAGATAAAAGGTTAAGATTCATGAAAAAATCCGTAAGAAGTGGTGGAGCTGCAGTGGACGATGATGATGACGATTTTTATGATTAGCCATAACTCGCTGTACATATATTTAAGAATAAAGCAAATAAAATTACTTGTCATATAGACTTATATATTCCATTAATGTAGACTTAATATTCCCCAATAATAAGTGCAAATGTTGATAGATCTTTTCATTAAAATATTTGTGATAGGAAAATTCTCAGATTGTCTCATGTGAACAGATCAAAAAGTTTAGCTCTTCCAAATTTAGGAACATCATTTTTCAAGCCGTTACCCTATAGTAGAATAGTTGAAAGTATAGTGACTAAGGGGGGGCTGTCTAAACTACATAAATTATTAAATATTATTCCAATTATTTCATAATATATCATCTTATTGAGTGGTTACAGAGCAAGCTTTGTCCTTATTGTACAGTTGCATATTAATCCTTTTGACACTAAAAGACTAATACAGGAGTTTTAAATGTTGTCTAGGAAAAGTGTCCCATCTTCAAATGGTAAAACTCTACCACCATCAAATCAGGTCGATTCACAAATCCAAGAGCAAACACCTCCGCCGGACAACTTTTCGAGTATGAAGCCATGTTCTCATATCAAATCAGTCCTTGAATCTAAAGCAAAAGATAATGTATTTATTACGTATAGACAAGCGGTCTATATTGCACAGTCTATATCAAAAGATAATATATATACTCAGAAGAAGGATGGTGCAGTAGTCTCAAATAACAAACTTGTGGAATTGAAGTCTAAGTCTTTGAGATGCACGGAATGTTCACTAAACAATTTCCATCATAACTTTATCTGTCTACAATGTCCTCATGTGGGATGTTGTTCCCACCATAATCATGCTTATGTTCACTATAAAATGAACCAGCATTTGTTTGCCATTGATTCGCATAATGGGTTGCTCTACTGCTTTCTGTGTGGCGATTATATTAACGACCCGGAGTTGGAAAAGATCCGAATTGGCATGTCTAATTCTTCAGGTTACAGATCGCTTGATGAGGAAGAAACCGAAGCCAATTATGATAATCCAACTAGCAAAGCCGTTAGTGGGTTAAAAGGGTTCATCAACCTTGGATCTACTTGCTTTATGAGTTGCATCTTACAAACTTTAATTCATAATCCAATCATAAAATACCAATTTTTTAATAATGATTTGCATTATTTCAATTGTGAACATAATTATGATTATATCACAAATGGTGCTATTACAGAAGAGAATGCTTGTATTACATGTAGCATCGATAATATTTTCAAAAACTTCTTTACTTCAGATGATACAGAAGGATTTGGAATGACAAACTTACTTATGACCTCATGGTTCAAGAAGAAATCACTAGCAGGATCACAAGAACAAGACGCTCATGAATTTTGGCAATTTTTACTAAATGAATTTCACCAAGATTATCATAGAGTGTCAAAAGAAAAATTTGATCACGATCATTGCAAGTGTATAACTCATTCAACGTTTTCAGGTCAATTGGAGAGTTCCATCATTTGTTCTGAATGTAACTCCACGACTAAGACAACAGATCCTATGATTGACTTGTCCTTAGAAATTGATCATATGAAAAAGACAGATCATTCCCTCAACTTATATGATTGCCTTGATTTATTCACAAAGGAAGAGAAGCTAGATGTTATGTATAAATGTCAGCATTGTGATAATAGATCCAGAGCCAAAAAGTCTTTAAGGATCAAGAAGATTCCACCCGTTCTATCAATTCAACTAAAAAGATTTAAACATAATTTGCATAACGATACGTTTTCTAAAATTGAAATTCCAATAGATATTCCATTATTTTTGAATATCACTAAATATACTTCGGCCTCAATATCACCAGAACTCGATGGTGATAAAATATTTGAGTTGTTTGCATTAGTTTGCCATATTGGGTCTGTCAACACAGGTCACTATATAGTAATCATTAAGAATGGTAATGGCCAATGGCTTAAATTTGACGATAGTGTCATTTCATTAATATCTCAAGAGGAGGTCGTAAAAGCCAATGCCTATTTATTATTTTACATAACTCATAAAATTTAATTTATTCTTTAAATATAAAATTAAATTTTGATATCATATTCCGGTCATGTAAGCATTGTATAAGTCTATACTACAAAGGATCTAGTATTGGTTAATCCTTACGAAACATTTGAATTCAATACACTTTACTTGGTAAAATATTTTATTAAACTTTTAATCAAAGAATGTATTAATCTTAAATAATTCTAATATACAAACATTCATAAATAATTTAAAAGAAAAAAATCATTGAAAATCTTCATCGATAATATTAGTCTTATCACACATTTGTCTGAAAACGCCATTCCTATCTGTAAACAAATTATATGGTGTACCTTTTTCTATAAGCGAACCTTTATCCATTACCAAAATCCTATCGTAATGAAGAATAGTTTTCAACCTATGAGCAATACACAATATCGTACAGTGACTGAATTCATTGACAATAGTTTCCTGAATTTTTGCATCAGTTTCATAATCAACAGACGAGGTTGCTTCATCTAAGATTAATATCTTAGAATTACGAACCATGGCTCTGGCCAATGCAATTAACTGTCTTTCTCCTAACGAAAAATTGCTTCCATCATCAGCAACTAATTGGTCCAAATGAAATTTATGAAGACTATCGTGGCCAATATTCCTATTTTGATCTAATTTAGTATTCTTAATCTTAGATATTTGACTTGCATCAATCAAGCCTGATCTTCTTAATGCATCCCATAACTTCTCATCTGTTGACTCATTAAATGGATCTAAATTCCTTCTTATTGTTCCTTGAAATAAGACAGGATCTTGTGGAATAATAGATAACTTCGATCTCAAGTCATATAACCCCATTTCAGCTATATTTAAACCGTCGATAATAATTGATCCTTCATTCAATTCTACAAGACGATACAAGGCGGACATGATAGAAGATTTTCCAGCACCTGTTCTACCACAAATACCAACCTTCTCACCAGGGTAAACGCTAAAGTTCAAATTCTTTAAAACTGTAGGTAAGTGATCTCTATATTTTAAGGATACATTATTGAATTGAATATATCCTGATGGGGGCCATTCTGCAGGTGGTTTAGATTCCGGCTTTTTATATGCCCCTTCTTGAGGTAAATGGAATGCATATTGATGTAATCTTTCAACAGAGTTCATTTCGTTCTCAACTTGTGTCATTGATCTAATAGTCAAAGATAATAAACCAACAATTTGAATAACATAACTTAACAACAACCCAGTTGAAGATGCACTAATGTGGAATTGATCAGTGATACATAATAAACAAATGATCAAAGCAAAAATACTAGCAATAATGTCCAAATGGACACCTAACCATCTTTGATTTGCAATTGAGACATAATAAGCCTCATTCATTTTATTGAGATATCTATCATTCTTCTCAATGAATGTTTCTTCGACTTTGTATGCCTTAATAGTTGACATTCCAGACAAGGTTTCATTAAAATTATTATATACCAAAGATCTTTGAACTGCTTCTAACCTTTTAATTTCTCTTGAAGATCCCTGGTAAAAGTTTGCAACAAAAACGAATGCAAATGACAAAAATGGAACAGCAATTGCAAACCACGGTAAGTAACAAATGCATAAAATCACAATACCAATAATAGTAGCTAATGGGAATAAGAATAATCTTAACTGTTCCCCAATCTCATTATCCAAAGAATCGGTATCTTTTGTAAATCTGTTTAAAATTCTACCCATTGGATTAGTATCTAAATAACTCATTGGAGCATGTAATATCTTTTCAACAGCTTTGACATTCAATAATTTAGCCGATCTGTTATTCATGTAAGCCAACATGGTAAATTCAATTGCAGTAAAGAAAACAGTCAAAAATGCAAACATAACATATAACGCCACATAGAAGTGATCACTTTTATTTGGAAATTTCTTTTCAGTCCAAAAAGATAACCAAGTATTAGTAAATAATTGACAAAATGTTGCTAACGATATCAAGAAAATGAATACAGGTCCAGCAGACCAACCAAAGAATCCAGAACCTAAATCAATATACTTCTTGTAAATATCCCATGAAATAGCATTCGTAGCCCTTTCTTCGTCACCCATTATTTTACCTGCGATATCACTTGATTCAGGAACAACTGACTGTTGTCTAATTAATCTTGCCCCTTCATAACCATTATTGTTATCATAATCTGTATCACTATAATTTTCATACACCCTTTGGGTTTCACTTTTTCTAGATTCATTATCTCTAGTAAGATCCGTATTAAATTCAATTAATCTCTTAAATTGATTATTTCTGGCAAGCAATTCATTTAAAGTTCCGAAATCGATAGATCCATCACCGTTTAAATAAACAACTTTATCAGCTGATTCAATTAACGATAACTGATGGGTTGCTAGAACCTTAGTTTTGTCCTTCAAAAGACCATTGAATAAATTATTAACTATGTGCTTTCCAACTCTGGCATCAACGGCAGATAAAACATCATCAAATAACAAAATACCTGCATCCGCATAAGCAGCTCTTGCTAAATTGATACGTGACTTCTGACCACCGGATAATGTAATACCTCTTTCACCGATTTCAGCTAAATCTCTAGCTGGCAATAATTTTATATCGTCTTCTAAGCAGCATGCTCTAATTACTTTGTTATATCTAGTCTCATCATATGGCTTTCCGAAAATGATATTATCTCTAACAGTCGCATTTTGAATCCAAGGGTCTGAACACAATAATAAATCATCATAAATGCTTACTTTTCCAACTGATGGATTTTCTAACTTCATAAATCCAGATAAAGCGGCCAATAATGAAGACTTACCAGATCCGATTGAACCGGTTATTATAATGAATTCACCTTGTTTTACAGATAAGTTGATATCAGTTAAACCTGGAAAATTTCTGGCTTCTATCACAGAGGGAGATTCACAATATGTCTCGTTAGAGGATCTTGAGGACTCTTGAAAACTATCTTTTTCTTTGATTTGGTACTTTATGTCTTTAGATTTAGACTTTTTCTTTTGTTTGGGGTCCTTTTCACTCAGACTTCCTGAAGAATTCAAATCCCACGAACTAGAATTTTCTGTGTAAAAGCTTTCCCAAATAAAATTAGCATGACTAACTTCAATCACATTTGCGTTTTTATTTGTATTTTCGTATGAACCAGTTTCACTTAAATCAAAAGACTCGTGTTTGAACTCAAACTCCGAATTGGTGTCACCAGCAATATATCTTTTATCAACGTCAGATGCTAATCTTTCTTCCAAATCATCATCATATTCTTCTGCCACTAAATAATCTCTACAACGACGGAAGCCAATCAAGGCATCAGCACCAGTAGCCAAAGCAATTGGCAATAACATGATAGCCTGGGCCAAAATAGAAAATAAAGATAACGAAGAAAATACCTTACCTGCACCTTTCATGCTATTGTTCGCCCACATAGAAGTGAATGAAACCATTGAGGTTAATGTTGGTAAAGTAACAGCATAGGCAGTAACAAAGTTTCTCAAAACTTTAATAGTAAATAAATATTTCATTTCCTTAGTACGGACTTTCGTGATACCTACTTTGTAAGCCATTTCCCATGCATAGAACTTAATAATTTTCAAGTTAGTCAAAACTTCTCTCATCAAACTAATTCTTTCGTCTGTGTATAAAACAACTTCTTCTCTAGTGGTAAACAATTTTTTGGTCAACAAAACGCAAAGTACCAAAGAAACAACGAATAAACCAATACCGGCCAAGGAAGTGACACCGATAAATTTAAGCAATAACACAACAGCTATTATAACAGGAATAGGGAAACAAACCACCAAAGGTTGAAATCCAATAGCTAAATCAATTCTAGCTAAATCTGTACTCATCAATGAGGTGATCTTACCAATTGAAAATTGATTTCTTGATTTTGAACTTAAACTAAAGGATTTTAAAAGTAAAGATTTAGTCAAAATAGCTTTTGCTTGAGCTCCAGTTACCATTGCATTGTGGAAAAAGTGATTTAACAATAAACCATTAACAAAAATCAATACAACAGCCCCGATAGTGTATCCGATACCCTCATTATAACTCACTTCGACACCAAAAATTCTTGTTTCGTAAGAGTTTTGAACAAAATCAATTAATCTTCTGGTAATCAAAGGAGATAAAGCTTGACAAACAAACGACAAACCCAAAAATATACAACTCATGGAGTACTGTAATTTGAATGTATCGAATAATGCCAAAGGGATGTTGTATGGCGACCAAACATGGCCATCTAGATTATTATGCTTTTTTAAATATTTTTGCTTATCTTTCTCTAATCTTTTGTTTAAATTCACATCGAACCTTTCATGCATAGACTCGACTTTCAACTCTTCAGTAAGATACCACAAATCGTCTGGCAATAAAGTTCTTTTATAGCCCTTATATAGCACTGGCCAAAGCCAGTAGAACATCATCCTACTGAATACATTAGCTTTCTTCCACGGGTAAATGGTTCTTTCTTCTGGTGCAGTGACGGGTGGTACCTTCTTGGAAAAAAGGAAAGAAAATAACCTCTTTTCATTATGTAAAATTTCCTGTCCTTCCAAGTTTAAGTTTGAAGATGAGTTGTTGTTTTCATTTCCTGGTGTGGCATTAGGTGATTTTTTATTATTTTCAGCAAGTCTGGAAGTTATGGAATTATCCACAAATGTAGTGGTGGTTTCACTATTATTAGTCGTAACTTGCAATAAGTTGGTATTGTTGTATTTATTCAAATAAGAATCGTATGGTGGAGAATTCACCGGTCCTTCGCCATCTATCGAAGCATTTGAACTATAAATATGCGACATATTGAATCACTGGTATAATTATCAGATATTTCAAATCTTAGGTTGCTTTTCGCTGTAGTAGTATAACGTTATTATGATAGCGATTATTTTAGCTATTATTGTTGTCCTTTTAATATGTTGGATTGATGAAAATAAACTGAAGTGTAGTATTTTGAAAAACCGTAGCAAATTGGGGGTATTATTTGGGTATTAGATTTGCTTCTATTTTTCCACTATATATGCATATAATAATGTTAATAAAAATAATATATTTTGATTACAACTTAGTATCCAGAAGTATTCAAAAAAGGATATCAGTTTATCTGGGAATTCAAATATATATATGAATAAAGATTATTTAATGTGTTCAATCTTAGACTGTGACTAGTACATATGGCATTTGATTAGTATCGATATAAAAATTGCCTAATTAGGTGCATTCATGAAAATACTAGTCTTCAATGCGGAGGAAAAAAAAAATAGTAAAATTACCGAATCAGGTAATCTCCCTAATACTATTACGATGTTTGAAAAATCCGCAACCATATTTGGCATAAGCTAAATAAACTACATCGTATAGCCATCGCTTGTAGGTTGCAGACCCCGATTTCAAAAAAAAACTGTCACCAAGATTGTGCTCCAGAGTTTTATCGATCTATAGGCTGCGAGAAACATATAACGATAATTTAATTTATACAGACCCCCAAATAAGCAAAAATCCCATAGCAATCAATATACTCCTTCATACTACTTTCTGTTGTCTAGCTACAACAACCTTTTCATTAATTTATTGTTCTATCAATAGTATTTCCTTGATAATTACATGTCTTACAATGATACAAGAGAATGGCCCAATTTGTAAGTAGGTTTTTATGGTGCATTTATTGTATGTACATAAAAAAAGTAGTGCATAAGGACGAACGTATAAAGTTTTCTGTAATACTTCACATGCTTCTGTCAAAAAATAGTGGAGAACAAGCAATCGCTAGGTAGTGTACACAATGCGTAGATATAAAGGGACCATAGATAGAGTGAAATTATGTCTATAGCAGATCAAAATTACCTAAAATGTTTAAAATTTATTAGCATACAGAATTGACAATAGGTAGAAGGGATGATATTCTTATTTAGGTATATTAATTAGGTCGCAAGAGCATAATGTGTATTGTTTGAAAATCCTTGAGTAAGAGGCCGTTGCAGCCAAAATAGGCATCCACATAAAGTACGTCAAAGTGTCAACTATGAACTATAGACAATTTGACATTAATGTGTCTATCAGGCGCAATGCATGCATATTGAGCCAATAAGATAGCTTTCACTGTCAATTTTGAGCGAATGAAACGGAAATTTGCTTGATGTGAGTATCCCTGCACCCACTGCACTAATCATTATGCACACGACATGAATACTAATCAGTGTGCTATACTAGTATTAATCATTGTGCAAAGACTTGAGTACTGATCATTGTGCAAATTCAAGCACACATATTAGAAACCAAATGGTCCCGAACCTGAGCCTGATCCTGGGTTACCGAAGCCAGGAAATCCTGATCCTGAATTGCCTCGGCCAAGGCTCCCTCCCATATTGCCTGGTAAGCCACTACCTAGCGCATCAAAACTATCCTCGCCCATCGGATCATCATATCTAGCTCCTGGGGGGACACCCAATCTTGAAGAGTTTCCACTGTTCCTGTGGCCTCCAAATATAGGATGTTCGCCCAGAGGATACATTCCTCCGTCGCCATTCCCTCCATTTGGATCAAGATATGGTTTCATTTCAGGATATTTTGGTAAGCCCGGTGGGTTTAAATCTCTGTCTCCAATGTTAGGAAACGGCCTACTCGATGGGGTTGTTTTATCCGTTCCCAAAATCTCATATTCGTCATCGAATCCCGGCATATCTGGTATCTTTCTTCTCTCAGTCTCTGAACCCAATGGATTATGTAGGGCTGGGTGTGGGTGTGGGTGTGACGGATGCTTCAGGTCCTTGGTTTGCAATTCTTCATGACTACTATTCCCACTGTAATGGAATAACTTACTGATCTTACTATTGATGCTCAAATCAATTTTTCGATTAAATTCCTTTCTTAATTCGGGACCTATTTCTTCAAGGGGCAATTCAGTCTTTAATGCGTCTGCGTTCCAGTCAATTAATACTGTGTCGACCTTTTCCGTGCCAATAGTAACAAAATTCACCAAATTGATTCTCTCTGCCACCTCGCTTACATTTACCGTCACCTTCAACTCATCTCCATTACTGACCAAATATTGATTGAATCTGCTCGATTCAACTAGCTTGCTTGTCAAATGCACTGGTGCGTATTCTTCTATGTACCCATGGACCAATTTGGTCGTTAACGTTAAATAATCCTCAATCATAACGTGTTTAGTTATTATGATTGTCTTCTTTTGATAGAATCCTCTTAAAAGCCTAACTATTTATATAATAAGTGACGATTGCTGTAGTCCACATCATTAATATTCTGCATATGAGCAAGCATGGTTCTGGCCCTAATCTTCATCAAAATCACACCAAATTTACTCCAAATCCTTGTTAATTGTAGTGAAGGTGCCTATGGTCGTTACGGTATCCTATCTAGCTGGCATCGACGGCAACAGCGGACTATAAACCAGGTTGAAACTTCTAGCAAGTTCTGTCCTTATATGTATTGCTCACGTGACGTTAAATGAGTTTTTGCTTCAAGAAAAATCACCGGGAGTGATCTTCAAGGGTATTAAATAGTAGTTTTCCTTATAAAGTATTGATTATAGTATATAATAACTTGACATTGACTGTGACAAGGTTGTATACATATTAGATTTCATTATTGGATATTTATTGAGTGAATATCATTCTCAGATTGGACGTAAAATAATTGACGACAAGTAATCAAGAAAAAAAATATTGATATTTTGGACATCGAAATTTACGATTTGAAAGATGACTACTACGGTTCCTTTAATATACTCATTTCCAGAGTTTTTGGGAGTTGCTGAAGCGGTTGCTGACCATGTTATATCGGCGCAAAATATGACGTTGTACAATACGTTGGACCATGCACAGATCGAATTAATTAAACAAGATAAGTTGACAAGACCGGCGTTGCTCAATTCATCAAGTGCGTTGTCATTAAGCGGAAATGGTAATGGAAACGGAAATGGCGCCAACGGTAAAGTTAAGAAGGAAAAGAAGAAGAGGGGGGATATTAGGTTCAAGATTGCGATCAGTGGAGGGTCGTTGATTAAGATATTAAGGGAGGGTCTTTTGTCGAGACAAGACGAGATCGAGTGGGATAAATGGGACGTTTACTTTGCAGATGAGAGATTGGTGCCGTTTGAAAGTAATGATTCGAATTATGGGCAAGCCAAGCGTGAGCTTTTTGACAATATCAGCGGCGATTTGAAGCCGAATATTTACCACATAGATGAAGCATTAATTGATGACCCCCAGGAATGTGCCGACGTATACGAAAAATTATTAATTCGTAATTTTGCAAAGAAAGATTCAGTTAAGTTGCCAATGTTTGATTTATTGCTTTTAGGTTGTGCCCCGGATGGTCATATTGCCTCGTTATTCCCAAAGTATGGTGAGCAATTAAGGGAAAAGCTCGCTTGGTGTTTACCGGTTTTAAACGCCCCTTCAGGTCCAGAAAATAGAATTACATTATCGATACCGGTTATTTGTCATGCGCATAGGGTTACTTTTGTTGTTGAAGGTTTAACCAAAGCACCAATCATGAGAACAATCATGGAAAGACCAGAAAAAGGTTTACCAAGCTCCATAGTGAATGAAGGTGCGGCTGGAAGAGTAACATGGTTTGTAGATGATGATGCTTTGAATGACTGCTATGATATTACAAAGAAGAAATATAAATTTTTATCAATTAATGATCCAAATACTTAAGGTTTTTTTTGGTGTTATAATATTGTGTTGTTTTCCGTGTTAGATATTGATTGATTATTTCTGCACCCATACCTTGTATCATTATCCATCCTTTCGGGTACTACGTATCAATAAAAGTATTTCCAATTCGATATTTATGAGAACTCATTATTATTACATTCAGGATTTCTATACAATTATGTCCTTTTAATGCTTTCCTTGATATTCATATATGCTATTTATAAATGCGGCCTGAATGCATATTTTATAATATTTTTGTTGTTAATAAATACCTTACATAGCTATTTGCAGCCATTTTGTAAAAGCATATTATTTATTTGATAATCATAAACTATAAAAGGAAAGCATACTGCAAGATCATTGCGAGAAAATTGAATTAAAAACTAGAAACCTAAGTAAAACATTGGTGAACAACTTTGGAGGTTAACTAGACTCTGACAGACTGATGATTTTGTTTCCATCCATTATGGCCATCATTTTGGGTCTCGTTCTTACCAGAAGCACTAGATGGGATAGGTGGAACACCAGATTGGGCACCAGATGGAATTGGAGGAACACCAGATGGAATAGCACCAGATGGAATAGAACCAGATGGAATAGGTGGGACGCCTGATGGAGCACCTGATGGGGCTCCTTGTTGTTGACCACGCTTCTCATTATGATTGAACCCAGATGGTGCAACTGATGAAGCACCAGAAGGAATAGGTGGGACTCCTGATTGGGCTCCAGAAGGAATAGGAGGAACACCGGATGGAGCACCTGATGGAATAGGAGGAGCACCGGATGGAGCACCTGATGGAATAGGAGGAACACCGGATGGAGCACCTGATGGAATAGGAGGAACACCGGATGGAGCACCTGATGGGGCTCCTTGTTGTTGACCACGCTTCTCATTATGATTGAACCCAGATGGTGCAACTGATGAAGCGCCAGAAGGAATAGGTGGGACTCCTGATTGGGCTCCAGATGGAATAGGAGGAACACCGGATGGAGCACCAGATGGAATAGCACCAGATGGAATAGCACCAGATGGAATAGAACCTGATGGAGCACCTGATGGGGCTTCTTGTTGTGGACCACGCTTCTCATTATTATGGAAACCATGGAAACCCGATGGAGCACCCGATGGAGCACCCGTTGGAGCACTCGATGGAACATCCGATGGAATACCTGATGGAATACCTGATTGGGCATCTGATTGAATAGGTGGAACACCTGATGGTGCGCCGGTTGGAGCTACCGGACCTTCTTCATTCTCATTGCGTTTGAAAAGACCTCCAAAGAAACCACCTGTCTTAGTTGGTTGTATGTAGCTATGTGGAGCATCAGAAGGAATACCTGATGGAATACCTGATGGAATACCTGATGGAGCGCCAGATGGAACACCAGTTGGAACACCAGTTGGAACACCAGTTGGAACACCAGTTGGAACACCAGTTGGAACACCAGATGGAATCGAGAGACTCGATAATGCCGAATCAAGTGGGTTGATACTGATGGCAGCACCATTTGCAGCAACTGTAGCCATGGCTAATTTTAATAATGTGGAAAATTGCATATTCTATTAATTTTTATATCTATATATCTTAATGATTTAATGATATCTCAAGAAGACATGATGATATCCTTCCATTTATATAGTTAACTTAAAGAGGTTGAGTAATGGTGGCTCCGAATTGCAAAATTTATTGCTCTCTTAACCTTGATACGTCTAGTTTTATTGCATTCACCGTCTCATACACCGAACAATAGACAGGAGATTCAACCGTCATAGCCTATTTAAAATCGTAACCCATGTTCCTTAATTTAAATGCTGGCTCTCATTGTATATATTCAGCAGCATTACGTTAAGATCTTTTACTATGCCTGATCGCTTAATCGAGTCAACTGTAGAATGAGGCTTAAATATTTCTAGGCTCTTAGAGGTTGTTTTAAATCGACCTTCTTCGGAATAGATCAAACTTATTGTCACATATTCTCACAGCTACTTACATATAGGCACGCTCACAGGTTGATCCGATACATTACAGCCTGAATTATTAACTCTTGCTTATATTATAATCTCCATGCGAAATAGCCCACTAGTGGTTCATAGGAGAATGCGAATTACGGAATTTGATACTATACAACTCTATCATAATGTTCATTGTCAATATAACCACCTCTCATTGACGATTTTACGTTTGAAGTAAAAACCGACTTATTTTTCACCAATACATTGGCTGCATCTTTGTTTAACGGATCATTTGGATTTGGTTCTAGAAATAAAAAATTTAATCCGATTAATATCGAATTCAAATTTAGTACCGGAGACCAATCCTCTCTCAAAATATTCAAGCATATATTTCCATCCAAATCTATGTTGGGATGATAGATTTTATTTAGACATTTGATCTTAGGAGGTTCTATGGGGAAGTTATTGTTTATTTCTGTCTTAAACTCAAATGTTCCTCCTTTATAGTACCCTTCTTGGGGAGTTATGGAGAGATTGAAATTGAATAAGTCTGAAGGATCTGGAAACGTCAATTTGATACTTCTAGGCAAATCTATTTCTGTAATATCCTTCTGGAGTCTTAGTTGGGCAGCACTTACTCTCGATGACGAAAGATTAGCTGATGTATTCAAATTGGTTGATTCGGTCAGCGAAATGCTTGCGGCTGATTCTGCTGCTGCTGCTGCTTCTTCCTGCTTCTTTTTTTGTAATTGGCGGATTTTCAACTAGTTATTCTAGTTAGTAGGGTCCCTTATAGAACATCAATATAGATTTATACATACCATTTTGCCTTGTTTCTATCCATGCAAAGTATTTAGAAATAGATTTACGCAACATTTTAATGCTTCCTGAGAGTCGTGCGTTTGAGCAATGACTTACTATGTATTAACTATACAATTAAATACTAGCACCCATTAGACAAATTCTTTCTGTAGTAGGTGTTGTAGTACCGATGCAAACTTCGCCTTGGAGTTGTATAACGGATTTTCACCTGTGGTTTCGACAAAATCATTTAACTGTTCTTTCTCACTACTGTAGGCGAAGTTGATCATAGTGTGAAGTTGCAAACTGGTCCCTCGCGATGAAGTAGGTAAGGGTGCAATCAAAGCCTTGTAAGGAGTTACAATGGAACAATTTGCTTTGAGTAACCAACTAATTTGATCGAGTTGGAACTTCTCCACATCAAATTGTGGCATATTCTGTTCTCTTAATGTATCGATCTGTGTGAAGTCAGCACTACTTAATTTTGTAAGCTGATCGATTACCATATTGTATTCATCTATTGCGTATTCTGAAGAGTTTAATCTGCTGCTGCATTCTCTGAGATAGACTTCAAGGGTGGTCCATAAAGAGACGTCAGATAGCTTTTGATGGCAGAGCACCACAAGGCTGTTTAAGATGATTTCGTTCATTTCGACCATCGCCTCTCTGATCGCCTTGTTCTCTGTATTCTTGTATAATGTAAAATTAAATCGAATACACCATTTTAAAAATCTAGAAGCATAATAATTTGCAAAATGAATTTCACAAGATTTCAAGATCCGGTTCACAAGAACTTTGTATAATTCAACAGAATCTTCTACCTTAGCATCAGCGATTTCGTGAAAAATAAGAGCTATTGCTATCTTCTTGACCATCATCCACAACGATGAACTTTTATTTATTCGTTTCAACCGACTACTAATATATGCTGTCAATATTTCAAATTCGGATAACAAAAATTGTCTGCTCTTAGGTAAAGTTTTCCATATCTGCCAGAAGGTCACCTCGTGTAGTCTGATTATTGTGTGATTCTCGTTTGTTGTTAGTAAATAACCCAATGTCATAAGATATGTATTCATTAGTTTTTCATTATCATTATACCAGTATTCTTCGAATTTAGGTGCATATGGAATCAAATTATTGTGCCAAAAGGTGTGTGCTTCCTTGAATATGGATAAATATGTCTTCTTCGTTAACCCTATATCCCATGTTTCTTCGTCAGTTCGAAATGTTGTAAATGCCTCTGGAACATCCTCTGTAGCTGGAATAATTTGAATGATCTTGTACGTAGCACTACGCCCTTCTTTAATAATATCATTCAATTGTCGACATAGTGGTAATGTATTGGTCATAGTATTATGTTTTGAATGATAATACTAGCAAAAAGCTCTGTAATTGATGCAACCATTGTGTTCTTAAAAATTGAGGTTTATGAAATTCAATATCATTAACAAAATAATTTATGAAAATACCAGACTACGCCGATACTACTATGGTTTCATACAAAGAACTATTTAAGTTTGATGATTCAGATCTAAATGTACCGTCTGATACTTTAAGTGAAGCTGTCTATGACAATGCTAAATTAGATTATATTTTTCAAAATGTTAACACTAGAAGCAGAGATGAGGTTGAAGATGAGAGAATAAATATCCAAACACAATTACCTACACAACAAAACCAACGTATTTCGAAAGAAATAATAGAAGATGAACCCAAACAAGTTTCAGAAATTAGACCAGATTCGGATTCACGATGGAAATTATTAAGAGTAATTGCTGGTGCACATCAAGGATGGGTTCGATCTTGTACTGTTGATCCTGTAACGAATAAATGGTTCGTAACTGGTTCCTCTGACTCTACAATTAAAATATGGGACTTAGCGAGTCTGAATTTGAAAGCTACGATAACAGGCCATATAATGGGAGTAAGGTCATTGGCGGTTTCATCAAGGTACCCATATCTTTTTTCAGGATCCGAAGATAAAACTGTAAAGTGCTGGGACTTGGAGAGAACAAACTCACTGCTGGGATGTCAAATTCGAAATTACCATGGACATGTTGGGGGTATATATGCTATGGATTTACATCCAGAACTTGATTTGTTGTTTACTGGAGGCCGTGATTCTGTTATTCGAGTTTGGGATCTAAGGTCAAGAACGGAAATTATGGTTCTAAGTGGTCATAGAAGTGATATCACGTCAATTGCAAGTCAAATAGGAGATCCACAAATAATTTCTAGTTCAATGGATGCAACTATTCGATTATGGGATCTACGTAAAGCAACTACGCAATTAGCACTTACTCATCATAGCAAGAGCATAAGACTGATGGCTATGCATCCACAAGAAATGACCATGTGCTCAGGAGATACATCTGGAAATCTTAAGGAATGGTTATTACCAGGGGGTGAATTGTTAAATGAATTTGGGCAAGGAGGAGAAAATAAAATAATAAATACGCTATCTATTAACCCAAGTAGTAATACTCTATTTTCGGGATATGATGATGGAAGAATGGAATTCTATGATTATGTTAGTGGTAACTTATTACAATCAGATGCAACTACGCCAGTGACTGGATCTACTGAGTCTGCGATATATGCATCAACATTTGATATGCTGGGTTTAAGATTAATTACATGTGAAGGAGATAAGAGCATCAAAATATGGGGAGAAGAATAGTCATCTAGCCAATTTATAGAATAAAATGTATATTAAATTAAGTAAACGTAAGCTCATAATGTAGTAAATTACCATCCAAAGCGTAATTGATTGGCAGTAAAAGCTGGAGGAGTCCAGCTTAATTTGGAAGGATCTAGCTCATGCTTTTTCTTATCTTTAACTTTTTTGACCAATTTCTCATACATAGCCATAACATGATCGGTTATCACTATAATGTGCTGTCCCTTGTAGTATCTTAAAATCTGTAATGCTGTTAAAGTATGTAATATGTCAGTTGTTGTCATACAAGTGATAGATGATATTTCATCGATCGTTATATCACTTGAAGGAGTATTCCCATTTTGTATATTTGCAGATTGACGACCTCCTGGAGGAGGACTAACAGATGAATCTTTCAGACTCGTTTCAGTCAATAATTGAGGATTATTCTTCTTAAAAAGATGAGGGTTATTTCTTTCCACTAATAATTTTACTAGCGTATCAGTCCAAAATGCTCTGTATGATAATAACCCTAAATCTGATAAAGGTTTTTCAGGTGATCCTACCTTATTCTCAACATTAGACAACATGTAAGAAAACTGGATTAATAATTTACCGAATCCCATCTTTTGATAACACGGTAAAGTCAAAATACATGCAACGTTATATCCATCCGCACTTTCTTTTTCCTTGGAAAAGTATCCGACTACGTGGTGACCTTGCGAAGATTTGACTGTCATGATATAAAACAAAAATGGATCGACATCGTAGTACAATGTTTTATGATCCAAAAATAGTTTCAGTAGTAAGCATAAGTTACGACACCATGTTCTTTGTTTTCTACCATCTATTTCCCAAAAGCTTACCTTTGAATCTCTATAAATCTCATTACCAGGAGGATGTTTCATAGAACATTTTGTTCTGAATCTTTCGAATTGCTTACGAGAGCCAAAATATGCTAGGGTGAAGTCACAAATGTATATCTCATCTTCTTCCGTGAGTTCGATTGGATATGGAGAGAAATACCATGGTTCAATGATATGCTCACCCAATATTACTGACGACAAGTTTCTAACTCTTGCAACTTCCAGGTGATTTTGAGTCATAGACCCGCTTGTTCTTAACTTTTTGATTTCATCTTCACGACTCACCTCTTCGCCTGGTCTTTTCAACCCTTGTACATTCAAATTATCCAAATCCATCTCATCTTCATTTCTGGGTGTTCCAGGTGTCGTATCTCCAATCGGTTGTGGTGTCGATGTAACTGATTTCGACACCGATTTACCGTTTTTCAGCTTGGATTTCTTCGATGTTTTCAGCTTCCCTTCCTTTTTGTCATCCTTCTTATCCACTTTAACTTGAGGTGAGATTAAAGCTCGGCTAAAATCTATTCTGTCTGCACTTATCCATTCATCCAATCTTTTATTAAATTCTTGATAATGTACATAAAACACCTTTTTACCCTTCTTCATATGATCCTGTAAAATCTCTGCTAGCCTGAATTCGCCATCCTTCGAAACATATAGCTTACATCCAGTTATAATATCATCCTCGATAAATTTATTTTCATCACTACGTCCTTCATCATCAGTTATTCGTATTGATGCATTATGTTGAGGAGTTGCCGTATCAGACTTTTCGTCGCCTACAGACATGCTTTATACTATCTATTTGATTGATTATCAATACCTAATACATGTTGATCACCTAATAGATAACATGAAAAAAAAAACAGTAATATATACACGTGATTCAGATTCACTATACTATCTATGTCTATACCTTTCCTTTTATCATTTCTAAGTATCTATGATAAGTCTAGAATATAGATAGATAAGATGAATCCAGGGACGGAGAATCAAAAGTGATTTGGAACTATTTATTTAATATTGTCCTTTTTCCACCACAATAATAGAGATTCAGTGTCCATTTTATCTTTAACCAAATGATTCATCCCTAAGTATCCTATATTATATTGCTCAAAATCCACAATAAAATGGAATAGTTTTAATCTCAATTGAGCAAAATACTTCTCCTCGTAAACTGCTTGGGCTGCTTCATCTTCTATATTGTCATAATTCTTGATATCTTGCTTGAGATCAAGGATTAAGTTCCTTTCTAAACATGCTCTGAAGAGCTCTTGTTGCGATAAGTCCCAGATATTTCCTGAACTTTCACCGTTGAGGCCACTCAAATAATAGTTGTCGACCTTTAAATAATTGTAATGAAGTTGTAAACGGTCACGAATGACTGTCTCGGGGTACAAAGTATTTGGCACGTACTTGGATGTCAAGCACAATGCTTTACAAAGCAATCTTGCTTCGTCCAAAGGAATGTTATAAGCATTTCTTAAAGCCAAGTCGTCCAATATTTCACCTTTCTTGTCTAACCTGTGATCTCTTAACTTCTTGCTTGCGTTTGCATTCCAGATCCTAGGTGCAAGACTAGGCAAAATACATGTCAGAGGGGTTATCTCTGGAAAGACGTAGCATATGGCTGGGGTGAATTCAAAAAACACCGCAAATATAACTGCAAATGTAGGCAATTTCAAAAAGTCTTTACGTGTACGCCTGATTAACTGATACTGATGTCTTGTCATATTAAACAATCCCTCGTCTATTTTCTTCTCTATCACATCAGACCTAATTACTTCTCCTCGAGTGTTATCATTCAACGTGCCGTTTTCAATTTTATTCATATATATGGCTTGGGACATTTCATGAGTTAATTTGTGGAAATTGGGAATTCGAATATCTATTTGTTTCCCTCTGTTGTTTAATTGGTTAATAATTTTAAAGTCCTTTTTCATCAATCTATTAAATTCTTTCTTATTGCTCCATACATTGGATACACCTTTCTTGTAAAACTTCACTAACGATTTACCGTATGTGCCAAATTGTTTAACCTTTAAAAACATCCCTGTCTTGTTTGGGTTTTCCACTTGAACTTCATGGAAGATTTCGGCTCTAGGCTTAAGATCAAGGGGTAAAGTACTTGGTGCATTTAACGCATCGCTTTCCAAGTTGAATGATGGAGACTTATACCAGAGAGTTGATAATAACTGTGACTTCTTAAGCTGTTGACCAAACTTTAATTTTGAAGCTGGAAATGCAAAAAAGCTAGACTTAGATCCTGGAACCAATCCGGAACTCATTTCAAATGCAATATAGACGTGCAAAAAGCTATAATAGGTCTTGAAAGATGATAATAGTTTTCTCGAATAAATTTGAAATTCATGTCGCAGCTTATACAAATGAACCTATATTTTGCCATCTTATGCTATATCAATTTAAAGACCCATATTTATTAGTATAATGACAGCTGAATATACTAAACCAGTTAGAAGAATTACTACGTCAGAAGATCTAGACATTTGGGTTGGATCTTCTGCCTATTCAACGATATTAGACTTTGTTCAGGATCTTCAAGACCTGGTAGTTGGGTTAACCAACGATGCACAAGTTGAAGTTTCTTCATCTTCAGAAGAATTATTGAATGCATTGAACGAAATTAATACAATAATTGAAAACAATCCCGTAGTTCATGAGAAGGATATTTCACGTTTTGGAAAAATTGAGTTTAGGGATTTTTATGACGAAGTTTCTAAGAAATCATTCGATATACTAAAGCCATTAGTCAAAAATTTGGATAGTGATCCTAGAATCGAGTTGACTACTTACTTCAATGAAATTTGGGGCAACAGAACCAGAATCGACTATGGGTCGGGACATGAACTAAACTTCATTGCTTTCCTTGTATGCTTACAGAAACTTAGTATCATCAAGCGTGAAGATTATCCATGTGTTATCTTAAAGGTCTTCACAAAATATATTACTGTTATGAGATCGTTGCAAAAGCAATATTGGTTAGAACCTGCTGGTTCACATGGAGTATGGGGTCTTGATGATTATCATTTTCTTCCATTTTTGTTCGGATCTTCACAATTAGCTACCCACCCTCATATGAAACCAAAGCTGATTCACAACGAGGAATTGGTCGAAAGTTTCTACAAACAGTATATGTATCTTGAATGTATACATTTTATCAACACAATTAAGACCATACCTTCTAATCAAGATCAAAAGTTAAGTTTGAGATGGCATTCCCCCATGTTGGATGATATCCTGTCTGCCAAATCGTGGTCTAAGATAAAGGAAGGAATGATCAAAATGTATAAGGCAGAGGTTTTAGGAAAATTACCTATTGTTCAGCATTTTATGTTTGGTTCAATCATCCCATGCCCTAATGGTATAAGCGAATTTCACGAACATGATGATGACAGTGATTGTGGTCATGATCATAGCGGAACGATCAATACATGGGGAGATTGTTGTGGTATTAAAATTCCGAGTGCCATTGCAGCCTCTGAAATGAATAAAATGAACAATCCAAACAACAAGCCTATACCATTTGACTAGGTTTAAGTATAAATAATAATAATAATAATAATACATTAACTAAATATCTAAATATTTGCATACTATTCAGTATAACCAATGCTTGTAGAAATTAAAATATTTCTTGGTAACGCACCAGGAAAGGGAAGTAATACTTTCATTTTACTCTTAGTATCGTCAAACTTAGAAACATGAGCATATCCTAAAATACAAGTATTCAATAAATCCCTAGTCAGTTTGTTATTCTGTGGCAATTGGGTAATGGCAATAATCGAATTATCCAAGTTCGAAGAACTAGGCTCTTGTAATCGTGAATAATATGTTTCGAGAGAGAATTCCTCCTTCCTATCTCCATCTGTCATTTCTGAAGCTTCTGGAGTAAATGAATCTCCAGATGGAAGGAAAGAAATGTTTGAATTCGCTTCCAGGCTATCAACACATTTATAAATAACAAAGTCTTTAGCATCAAGCTCTGTTTTAAACGGAGATAAAGGATTTCTTATAGTACCATTGAAATATTCTTTGATGCTTTCCTCTTGTGATTTTCTTATAAAAGCATCATCCACCTCTATGACACCACCACTCTTAGGAACTTTGATAAAGTCTAGTTGCGATGAAGCTATTTTATGCTTGAATTTCTTCTTCAAGTCAATCAATAATCTTTCGTTACCTATAACCACGATTATATTAACTTCGAAATCAGATACAATATTCTCAATAATTGTGAAATCTTTGATTGACAACGGAGGTGTGTCAATAAGTAATCCACTATTCTTAACTATTATGTCTTCCTCCATACGAGACACTACCGCAACTCCGAGCTTCGATATTTGATATTTATATAAGTCTAGATTGTCTGAATGGCTAGTAAATCCATAATTTTTAACTAATGGTTGCTTTGGATTATGGAATGTGGACCCAGATGTCGTTGATCCACCCCATCCATTTACACTTTCTACGTCAAATGCATCACTGATTGGTGTGGCCGTCAATGACCCTGGCACGGAGAACACACCATCTCTAGGATTTAAATTGACCAATATAGGACTTCTATCCATCTTACATGCGTAAGATGCAAGTGTCTTCACAAGTGCTGTTTTGCCCGAATGGCGATTACCCACAACCAATACTCGTGGTCCTGTCTTTTGCGACGAAGTATTAACGAAGTTGTGTTCGGATATAGATTGACGATATGATTCCAATGCAAAATGTAAATTCATATAGTGATTCATTGAAGTTTCTTCACTTATATATTCACTTATTTCATCTTCTTCGTTTGTAGAAGTCGAATTGGCTCTATTGGGAGTACAGTAATATTCAACTTTACAACCTTCATCCAATGGTGCATACAATGCATATTTTACCCCTGTAAGCAGAATTTCAACATTCAAAGGCAATTCAGTACCAAATATTTCCCCTATACCGTTGACCACTTTCAACTTCATAATCGTTCTAAATGGAACTTCAAACCTCCATTCCGATTGTCCATTAATTTCCACGAAACTCGATTTATTTATACTAGAATCTTCGTCTATATTACTATTCAAATCGCCACCAAACCCTGGTATAGCTGACATATTTACTTTTCTAGTTGCTATTCTCTTTTGTAGTCTTTCAACGATGATCTTTGTCAACTTTTCACTAGTAAATTTTGGTACTGCATTTAATATCGAGTTAACTATCAACCCACTTTTACCCTATCCTTGTAATTCTTTCAGACGACTTCTTGAAATCGTTCATAGTAATTCAATTCTTGAAGTGGCAAAGAGGATATCATGACGGATAAAAATGAAGATAAATATATTATCCATGAATCAATAAGAACGAATAAACCGTTGCTTGTACAACAATTAATCAATGAAAACCCCAAACTTTTATTTAGAAAGGATGAAGACGAGAGGACACCTCTACATTGGGCATGTACAATGGATAATAACGAAATCATCAAAATTTTATTACAGCCTAGAAATGGGATTGATGAAATTGATATTGATGAAATGGTTGATGCCAGTGGATGGACACCAATACATATTGTCTCTGCGTTAGGAAACGTACAAATATTGGAAGAACTCATGAAACTTGAGCCAACACCAGATATCAACTTGACAACTAATCAAGGAACTACAGCATTACACTTGGCAACTAGTAAAAACCATTTTGCGTTAGTGGAAAAACTCGTTATCGAGTACAAATGCTCTTGCAGGGCAAAAGACAAAAATGGGTTTACTGCTTTACATAGAGCTTCAAGTATTGGATCCCAGCCAATAGTCAAATTGCTTGTTGAACATGGGAAAGTCAACATTAATGCAAAGGATAATAATGGTTGGACAAGTTTGCATCACGCTTTGGCAGAGGGCCAAGGTGACGTAGCCATTTTACTTGTCAAATTGGGAGCTGATCCAGCTATTCAAAATAATGATTCAGAGACTCCATCACAGGTTGCTGTAGACGAAAAGGTAAAGCATTTCTTTGAAACTAGTCTTAATAATATATGATGCACAGTTAAGTGCTAAAAATTGGTATTTGCATCATGTTTGTTCTCAACGTTACATTGCAATTTATAATACTTAAAACTTGATATGATATGTATGTTAATATGCTTAATAATTATGAAAGTAATCACTTCGAAAGAATAATTAAAAAATTTTGTTAAAAGGTCTCTCATAATTTTGTAATTATATGTAAAAGATTTGAAAAAGCCTGAATCCATAGACATTTCTTCAAAATAATCCAAAAATAATCCCAAACCCCAAATAATTCCAAAATAATAACAAAATTAGTAAATTATCCTCAAAATCTATATGAGTATTTATATATTCGATTGAATGTATTAATAGGATGTAACAATTGAATTTACGGTGAATATGGTATTTATAGTTTGCCGCAAAAAAGAGATTCCCCTCCCCCCCATTCCGAAAAAAAAAAGGTAGACAATTTTATTGAAAGGATAATAAATCGTAATAATCTACAAATACTTGGTTCCTATTATCTATGCATTGAAGTCCTGCTTAAACATATATATATCTTAAAATACAATTAAAAATTTGACCTGTCAATCAGTTACTTTCGGTCGCACCAGAGAAATCTAATCGTTTTGGTTTGATTTAGCTTTGACGACTCAGTAAGTTAACTACCTTTCTTTCCCCATCTTAATATGAGAACATTCCACATGAGTAGAGAAACAACGTTATATGACGAGAAAATACTAATGAACTACTCAATACATCGCCAAAAGAAAAAATACAGCATTGAACTCTCCTATTTCAGACTGCGAACTTTGTAAGTAAAATCAAACTCTTAAGGCGTACCCCAAAAGATTATTAATAAATAGTCATATACGGACATACTAGAAAAAAGAAGATTGAGGAGGGTTTGCATATTTCCATATTATTACGTAGAGTGTAATCAGATTGTACGTAGTACGTAGAATCCTTCATTTTATTGGAGACGAATTCACCGATAAGCACCCCATTACTTCCTTTGTGTACGAGAAAGATCTCAAGGGGTCATATTGCAAAAAGATCGATTTCATGGTAAGGTGCTTTCAGTACCTCTAGAGATGATAACGAAAGTAGGCTATCTGATAAGAATTTGAGAGTTTTTTTTGAAGCATCATCAAGGACACTGTATAGGAATGCCGACTGATATCTCTTTACAGATAACATGTTAATGCTTTTCGAACCTAATATATAATTTAAAAGATAACAGTAATTATTTGTTATTATCTTTCAAGATTTCATTTGTATTATCTTGAGAGTTGGAATATCAGTTTACGCAATAGGCAGTCCCCGACTAGATTTTGAATGCGAATCAATTTTTAGCGAGATAAGATAATTCGAACTGATTTAACCAATATTTAGAAATAGAACAAAAAGAAGCTAAATTCCAAAATTCTTATAGTTATGTGTTAACATCCATCATGTCACAACTAGAATCACAAAAAAAATTCAATGCTCATATAGTCGTTAGTTCAGAGTCTATAACTAAACATGAAGTCGAAAATGGAACCATAATTGAATACGAAGATAATATCTTCGTCGATAACGCTGAAGGTCCTGACTTCAGAGGCGTTTCCACGTTTGGTGCTGCCGTTCTAATTGCAAAAACTCAGTTTGGTCTAGGTGTGCTAGGTTTACCTCACACATTTGATGTTTTGGGTTTTGTTCCAGGCTTAATAAGTCTTATTGCTTTATGCTGTTTAAGTACATGGGCGGGGGCTGTCGCTGGAAAATTTCGTTTATCTCACCCTCAAGTGCACAGTATAGGTGACGCTACATGTCTTATGTTTGGTAAGCATGCAGGTGAAATTATGGGATTTGCATTTTGGCTCTTTTACACCCTCAGTTATGGTTCTGCATTGCTTACTGTTTCTATCGCGTTCAATTCTTTGACAGAACATGCCATTTGTACTACTGCTTGGATTGGGATTGGTGCTGCGTTGGTCCTTATCATTGGGATTGTAACACGCACTTTGAAAGTTTTAGCGTGGTGCGGTTATGCTGCCGTCGCATCAGTTTTTTTTGGTGTTTGGATTGTTGCAATTGCCTGTCTCACTCAAACTACACCTGCTGTAGCGTTAGAGAGCGGCGGACCCGTTGAAAAAGTAGTACAAGTTGTTGGTACAGGATCTACTTATATAGCTATTGCTAGCGCTGTTTCTTCTCAATTATTTAGTCTCTGTGGTACTGCTTCTTTTTTCACCATTCATGCGGAGATGCACGATCAAACCAAGTATCTTAAGTCTTTATTCATGGGTCAAGGATTTGTTGCTTTCAACTACATTGTTATCAGCTCGATTATTTACGGAAAGGTTGGACAATATGTCGCATCACCTTCTCTTGGATCTGCAGGTATGTTGATTCAAAAAATCGCCTATGGTATTTCATTTCCTGGCCTTCTCTTTACATGTTTTTACCAAGCACATTTTGCGGCCAAATATGCACTTGTGCGCATTTTAAGAGGCACTAGCCATTTACAAAGTAATTCTAAAGTCCATTGGTTTACTTGGACTATCCTGGTGATTCTTGTTGTTGCCATAGGATTTGTTATAGCTGGTGCTATTCCTTTCTTTGATGATTTGTTCGGATTGGTTGGTGCTCTTCTTGGTTCATTTTTCACACTTATAATACCTGCTTTTATGGTTATTTACGAATTAACTTCGAGCTTATATGGACCATCAGACCAGTTATTGCATATGAGAATATCTTCAGAACTATTGAGAGGTAAGAAAAATGTAAGCATTCTTTTACTTTGTTTCTTCTCTATTGCCTTTGGTTCGTATATCTGTGTCTCGGGTACTTACGGGTCCATTGCATCCATTGTACAAGGTTATGCTGATGGTACAGTTTCTAGTGCGTTTTCGTGTGAGGATAATAGTCGGTAGGTCCTTTATTGTTTTATGTTTTACCAATTTGAAATAATTATGATATTATTTCAATCTATTGAGGGTTTTGATAATCTGATTTAGAAAATATGTTGACATATATATGGACAATTTTTCGTTTTAATTCATATTTTAAGCTAGGGTTTATAAGAAATAATATACAAAGAAATCATCAATTAGACTTAAATGATACGCATCAGTGTAATGGGATGAATATCCCAGTAGGCGCAACATTTGCAAGCCCTACTATTTTTTTTTCATTCTTCGCCGCAAAAGTATCTATCTTCAATACGGCATTTCACAAAAAAAAGACTTACTATTTCTATTATTAACAGTATGCAAAGCTTTAATATTCATTTTATCTCACTTTCATAAAAAGGTAAAAAAAGCTTATACGCAAAATCTCTCTTATCTTTGACAGACAGTATATATTGCAGGCTTTTACATACCCTCTATTGGCCAAAGCAACTTTACTTACAAAGAAACCTGTTTCCTATTATACATTTCTGGCACTCTTATTGTTAGAAGGCTTAATAACTTTGCTACCGGGCAATTCCTTAATAGGTATGCCGCGAATAGAGGTTTGAGATAAAGACAAGCGGCAGATAAGATACGTGAGAAGTTTGACGTTCGAGGGATAGAAATACCTAAATAATATCTAAGCACTATCCCTCAAGTATTGAATTATTTCTTACCTATGTTAGTTTAGTAGTTAGTATTACTTAAAGTTTGCTGTTTGAAGGCCCACAACGAGCATCTCAATAGCAGTAATATATTGTCCTTAAAAAAATATTTTGATGGATACTGCGCTGTTATCAGATTTTGCATTAGCGAGCATAGAGCGGATACTACCCATTTGAAGTATAACTAGATACAAGAGAAAATGCACCAAGCTAGAATATAAACCCAGTAAAATCATCTAGCTATTGCATAGCGAATTACCCGTTCAAACTTCACATGACGAAGAAAGTATTACTCGTTGGTGTAGGTGGAGTTGGTGCCATCGCAGCATTGGGTCTTGAATGGAGAAAACAATCAGAAGTTACTGCTGTAGTTAGATCAGATTTCGATAAAGCAATCAAAGAAGGATACCACATCAAATCCGTTGATTATGGTGAAATCAAAAATTTCAAGCCAAGTCATATCGTGAAGTCGGTTAAGGAAGCAGTGAATTATGGTCCTTTCGAATTTATAGTTGTATGCACTAAGAATACGCCTGATATTGTACTGATTGAAGAAGTGATTCAAGATGCTGTAACAGATGAAACAGCAATAGTATTGCTTCAGAATGGAATTGGAATCGAAAGGCCAATAATCAAGAGGTTTCCTGGGACTATAGTGCTTAGTGCTGTATCTATCATTGGATCATCAAATCATAATTGCGAGATTAACCATGATTACATTGATAAAGTCTCTGTTGGGTATTTCGATAATAACGTTACTTCCAAAGAGGAACAAGAACGCGTTGCTAAAGAGTTTGTCGAATTATATTCTACAGAGAATAATGATATAACCTTCGACCCTAATGTAAAATACACGAGGTGGAAAAAGCTTGTTTATAATGGCACACTCAATCCAATTTGTGCTCTTACCGGTGTAGATGTTGCTAGATTAGAGATGTTTGGAGGAACTAACGCCTTGGTGAGACAAGCAATGTATGAAATTCTATCTGTTGCTAGGGCAGATGGCGTTGAATTAGATAAAGATATTTGTGAAATTATGATTAGGTCCGATGACCCGCTTTGGTATTCACCTTCTATGCTTATTGATATGAGAAAGGGTAATTACACTGAAGTTCAAGTCTTATGCGGGAACGTTGTCAAGATTGCCGAGGAAAATGGTGTTCCAATCCCGATATTGAAAGTTATTTATGATCTTCACCTTGTGATTCAGAAAAGTAAGATGGAGAAAAATGGCTTGATTGAACTTCCAAAGGAAAGATTTATTCCAGACAAAGAACATCCTCCTTTATAAGTAGATGTTAGTAATAGTAAATGAGAATAGCACAGGACATCAATGATATATTGCTTCTTTTAAAATTGTGTATCGACTGATGATGCAATTTTTCTGTATGATACAGAGTAAGTAGGATGCAATCCGCATTGGGTTTGACTAGAATGTATTTAATGACCTCTCCTTTTTGAATATGCATATTAAACCTTTTCAAATATACATGGGACAGATCTATTATATGCTAGAGAGATTTAAACTTCTTTATTAAAATATGCTTTTGTCTTCTTAAATGTTTTAGTAGCAATAAGAACACCTTATTATTCTTATATTTGTAGTAGTTTCTTAATAGTGAATATCTTCAGTTTAAATGAAGGTTAGATGCACAAGCTCCAATTTTTAAATATATGCATCAATGTTCTTTCTTCTGTTAATTAAAGCTACTTTCGACCTGAAATGTGTATTAATTATAAGATGACTAGGAATTGACACTGTAAAGAAAAGTCTACTGGAATTAAAATTTGCATATTGTCTAACGCTAATGATTAAGTAAAGACCATGTTAAACTCAATTTGTACTTTCAATTTTTCAAATTCATTTACCAGTAATCTACCAGTAATCTACCAATAAAAACTCCAACTGTCTATGTATCGATAATGACTAGGACTAGATGTGGAGATTTAAGAATTTAAGAATTTCGGTGCTATCAATTGATACCAAAAAATGAGCTCTAAATTTAGCTTATACAGATATGCCAACCTTTCTGGTGTGCAAGGTCACCCCAGTTAGGGAAAGTTTCACCCTCAGGGTCCATCTTCCATGTTTCCTCAACTAGGGAAACAATAATTTTAAAGGTGCCATTAGGACAGTTCCTGAGAATTGTACTCATATTTTTCCTCATAATAATTCTTTCCTCTTCTTCGCAGCAAGTCATACCACAAATCAACATAGGAAATCCCATACATGTTGCCAATCGACTATCACAGACTGACTCCATCTTTTCTAGTGCTCTTATCAAATAACCTTGAGATATTGGTGCGCGTGGTTTTATCTTCTTAATCCTCATCAATACATATAAAATGCAGCTAAGTCTCTGAAGCTCAAAAAAATCTGTATGCAATCTCAAATCTTTGACATCTCCTGCTAAGACTGCAATATGTGTTTCTAATGGTCGGCATTTATTAAGCTTTAACATAAGAGACTCTGACACCTTAGTTGAAGTATCGCAGTAGTCTTTCTTGAATATCATTATCTCTTTGATTCCCACCAGCTGCGACTTTAAAGTTTCAATATACTTCTTCTGATCTTCTAACTTTATTGCTTCATTATTAATTTCTCCTAGAATTGAATAAATAGGTTGTATACAACCTTGAAAAGGATCCATGCCGTAGTTGCTGCCTCCAAAAAATCTTGAATGCAGCATTATCTTTTTATAATCACATATAAATTTGTTTCTATGGATCGTAGAATCACTGGACAAAGCATCATGGTATTGTATGTTCGAAATGATCCATTTAATTTCATTAGAAAATTGAAAATCAAGTGCCACTTTTTCCACCCCTCCATATTCTTCAATCAAATCCTGAGAGAGAATAAAAAATCGTCTCCAATAGAATGTATCACCTGCATTAATTTCTATAGACATGACAATTAAGAAAAAACATAATAACAAATAAAATGTTTCCTTTTCCACTCTCCGTGAGGAATTGTAAAGACCTAATACCTTTTTAGTAGCGATTTTCATATACTTCTTATAGAAATTTGAATCGGAATCTAAGAAAACACTACCCCATGACGCTAATGCATACCGGATAGGTTCAAATGAAGTTGCTAATGGAATGTACGTTTTCACTAAATGATTGCATTGGTCAGGTCCAACCGTTACAATTTTTGACACCTTAAAACAAAAATATTCAAAGTAAATAGAAGCATCTTCGTCTAAAAAGGTTTGGATTGGTGTTTGCATATATATAGGAGGTATTTTCAAAGTAAATTCATCAGTCTTTTTGACTGAAAGGCCACATGGATCTTCAGCAGATTCAAAAAGGTCAAAATCATCTCGATAACTAAATGTATGCATTTCTTTTGTATCATGAAGAGAGATTAATTCTTTATCTTCAAATATGGACCTTTTGCTTGTCAATATAGGATCACCTACATCTGAATCAGTTACGTTCGTAATACTATTAGTAACATGTTTTTCAACCTTTCTGCCTGTATAATTTTCCCACTTACAACAGTCCTTTCTTGCTTTACAACCACCGCATACCGGGTAAATTCCATTGCACTTTTTTCTACATAGAATTAGTTACCATCTCTTTTATAACTGACTAAAAATAATACATACCTTCGTTTTCTGCAATTTAAACAAACAACTTTCGTTCTTGCTAATTTACCATAAAAGTTCTCTGTCTTTACCTTACGCTGAAAGAAATTATTTCTATCGGTAGGGTTTAAGTTCATTATTGAATAACTCAAGTCTTATTTAACTACCAAACTGAAGACTAATAATACACTCCTTTACTCCTAAAAAGATTCTTGATTCGAAGCAGATTTGATAAGAGCCGCACACCTTATCAGTGGAATTAGAACTCGAAGGTCGCGAAATTGGATGAAGCGTATAGAAACATAATTCTTAATTACTATCTTAAAATATTGAACTAACTGTCTTCTATTGTTCCATAGTATTTATATGATTCTAGTTCATTTAGCTATCTTAGAAAGAATATTAGAATATTCGAATTATATTTCTACTTTGAGATTCAAAATATTTAGAAGTACTTTCAACGGTCTGGGTAATAGTGTTTTAATTAAACATTGTAAAGTATACGTAGGAACACCGTCTCGATCCTAGCTAAAATGTGCAATAGCTAGAATATTCAGTCTCAACATAAAATAGCGAAAATAATTAAAAGATATAAAATTATTACAATGTCTCCACATAAAGTGAACGGCTTAAGCCTTCAAAAAACAGATATTGAGTACTTGATTTTACAAAATGTCATGGAAAACTTTTCATATCTGTCTTAGTTAACTATATATTCTTTGCGACTGTAATTAATGTTTAGAATCTAAATTGTTAACCTGCCATCAATAGGCGCCTCTACACCTTTCGGGAATTACCTAAAACGATTGATAGGTTCCCCCTCCTGATATAAGTTTGTTAAATGGTAACATTATTCCGGTATATATGTAAGTATGGAATATAGAGAATTAAATACTTATAAGTCTAAGTATTCAAGATAGCGATAAGCTCATACCAAGCTTACCGTCGCAGTAACAAAGATTTGATAACTTGATAAGTGGCAATACCCGATCATTTTGAAATGTCATCCATAAGTTTAGATGTATAAAAACCCATTCGAATCGACTTTGTCTAGTCGATGTTGCATTATCAATAAAATTATCAATATGACAAACTATTACAAGCCCGTTAACTTCATATTAAAGAACAACAGGGCAATCCCACAAATTGGATTTGGAACTTGGCAAGCTAGTGATGAGGATACTTATAACTCGGTGCTCTTAGCTATTGAAAGTGGTTACAGGCATATTGATACTGCATACATTTATAAGAATGAAGAAGCTGTAGGAAGAGCTATTAAAGATAGCTTAATTCCAAGAGAGGAAATTTTTCTCACAACGAAGTTGTGGAATACCTTCCATACGAATCCAAGAGCTGGGCTAGAAAAGAGCTTGAGGAATTTGGGGGTTGATTATATCGATCTCTACCTCATGCATCACCCTGTGGCTTTGAATCCAGATTATGGAGTTGATAGGCCCCGGAATGCAGATGGTACATACGAGGTGCTCAAGGAATGGACGTTCGTCAAAACCTATCATCTATGTCAGGAATTTCTTGCTAACGGAAAAATCAAAGCATTGGGGGTTTGTAACTTTACGTTAAAAAATTTAAAGATTTTACTTAATGATCCAGCTACTAAGTATATTCCTGATGTAGTCCAAAACGAGATACACCCATTATTGCCGCAACATGAATTACTCAAATTTTGCAGTTCTTTGGATATTGTTGTGGAAGCATTTAGTCCATTAGGCTCAACTAACTCCCCATTATTTCACTTAAAAGAAATTGTTGAAATGGCTGAAAAGTATAAAGTTACCTCTGCCCAAATTTTATTGTCATGGGGTGTGTGGAGAAGAACAGTTATTTTGCCTAAGTCGGTAACGGGGTCAAGAATTAAAATGAATTTTGAGGGCCTAGTAGTTCTCGAAGACGAGGATGGAAATAAGTTGGATCTTTTGACAGAAAAATATGGTACCAAAAGATTTGTTGATCCCCAGTACACCGCTAATGTATATAAGGAAGATTAATCGTAAATTTATTTTTGTATACAATTTGCTTGAATTTTAAATATAGAATATATCGTAAGAAATTATTGTGCTAATTAAAATATTAAAAAGAAAAATAGAAAGATCTTATCAGCATAGGACTTAGCATGACGACTAGCCTAATAACTAATTCTAAGTTCCATTTTGAGATGAATTGGATTCCATAGGATATGTCATACTTTTCAAGTCACTAAACTTTACACATGTTTGCGACAAGAGGCTTTTCCCCAGATTCAGCAAACGTTATTATTGATGCTGTGCCTAATTTTATTTTCCCTTTACCTTGTTTCATTAACTTTTACAACGATCCTGCAATAATTCGAGAAAGAGAATTCTTTACTTGACCAAGTTGAACCATTTTATGTTACCTACAATTTCATATGTAATGAAATTACTATCACAGCCTTTATATATATATATAAGAATACAATGAATTCCTATACTTCAATTTATAACCACTATTAATTATATATATAGATGTTTTCTACAGTTTTACTGTCAGTTCCCGAAAATTTGAGTCTGCGTTAGATATCTAATTTCACTAAATTTCAAACCTATAATAAGCTTAAAAATAGTATATTAAGGTCATATACTCACAAGGACATATAATCACAAAGCGCCACAGGCAATTAAATCTTCTTCAACTTCATGGACACTCTTTAAAAGAGTTTGCGCTATGAACTTGATTTCTTCTTCTGTAGTGATAAAAGTAGGAGCAAGAGAAATATGGTCACCGGACTTACCATCAATAGTCCCATCCATTCCATTTGCAGTCATACCGTTTGACAAACATTTGGCAGCAATCTTCATACCTACTTTTAACTCTGCTGGGAAAGGTTCTTTTGATTCTTTATTTTTAACAATTTCTAAAGACCAAAATCCACCCAACCCCCTGACGTCACCAATTATTTTATATTTAGTGGATTCCAAGCCATTCTCTCGTAACAATTTTCCTAAAAGCTGTCCTTTCTCAAAAGAATTTTGACGTAATCCTAAAGCATGTATCTTCTTCTGAACAGCAAGAGCAACACGACAATTAAATGAATGTTGATGATAAGTTTGAGCACCAGCGATATATCCCGACCCTTCCATATATGCTTTCTTTATCTTAGGGGAAACTAGAATCCCTGCAATGGTAACATATCCAGATCCTAAAGTTTTACCAATGGTTTGAATATCAGGTCCCATGAAACCTTCGTATGATTCCCAACAGTTTAAACCTCCCGTTGAAGAAGATCTTCCAGTACCACACATAACCTCGTCGAGCCACATAATAATTCCATACTTGTCACAAATACGTCTTACGCCTTGCAAGTACCCAGGAGTAGCTGGACAAGTCCCAAATGTGGAGCCCGTGAGCGTTTCACATACGAATGAAGCTACTTTACCAGGACCAACAGCAACGAAAGTTTCTTCTATTTCATTCAATAATCTTTCAGTGTACTGTTCAAGACTTTCATCTGCTGATTGATGGCGGTATGGATAACATGGTGATACCTTTGGTGTTTGCGTAGCTGGTAAAGTGATTTCTCTAAACTGGTCTTTCCTTGATGATTCACCTAAGGATAATGCACCGAGGGTATAACCATGATACGATTGTTTACGACTGATGAAAACAGTCCTTTCTGGTTCACCTTTTTCCAAGTAATATTGTCTTATAATTTTCATTGCATTTTCATTTGCTTCAGAACCTGAACCGGTGAACAAGGCACTTGCAAAAACACCTTCCGGAGAAGTGTTGATGTAAAATTTAGCTAATTGTTCTGCATGATAGTTAGTCATGGAAGCAGGAAAAGAATAAGTACATTCTTTTGCAGCTTCTGCCATTTCATTGATAATGTCCTCGTCACCGTGTCCTAAAGCAGTAACAGCCGCACCACCTAAAGCATCAAAAATTTGACGTCTTTCACGAGTAATAGGGTCCTCAATCGTGAGATAATTTCCTTTACCACCTACAACCATTGGCAGAAGGGAAGCAATTTTGGAGGAAAATAAGTAAGAAGATGGTTCAATAGTCATAATTTAGTACGTAGAATGTAAATAAATAATTGTTTGATTTGTAATTAATTGGATTCTAAAATTACAAATATCTATTCGCCTTATATATAAGCTCTGACATTAAATAATAATATATCTTGATAACTATCTCTGGATGATAACATCCATTATCGGGTTTTTACTATTCAATTCAGAGCGCTAGTGATTGTATCGGTATTTACCTGAAACGTTGAAACAGATACAAAATCGTAATCGCAATTGATCTCTATATGCAGATCCATATGCATGAAGTAATAGATAACGGAACCTTATTGATGGTCGCTTTTTACCAAAATTGCAAAAGCTACATTTAGAAAGGAATGAAATGCGGTAATAGTTCTTAGTTCCGCATTGTGGTTATAGAATATTTGGGAAAATATAATGATTTAATTCTTGTTACAGCAAAAGACACTGGCTTCAAGAAGAAACCTTTGTTTAATAGTTTCAGCTATTATTTTTCTTCTATTTAGTTAATACACTCTCAAACATGCCCTGCAAAAGTTGATCCGTTGTAGGGAGCTGTGTTCGAGCTCAATATCTCTCAAAAGTTGTTTCAGCTTTCTGCTTAATCCTAAAATTTAAGTTGAGGGCCATCAGAGGCTTAGAATTTTCCACATAATTAAATGTAAACTTTAACTCAAGGTCTTATCTATTAATTGTATGATATTACTAGCTAAGGATTACTATCTGCTACTTAAATATAACACTTATTCTCCCATGTATTGTTTAACAGCTTGACCCCACGCACCCTTATTTTTGTAATGGGCGAAATCGCCATTTAAACCATCAATTGCTTGGATAAGTTCGTTACCCAATCCTTCGGCTTTAATTTGCAGTAATGGTGTAGTGTATGTCCTAATTGTCATTACCTTAGCATTCAGAATTGGTAAGCATGTAATGACCTGTCTTTCACATCTTAAAAAACAATTATCAAAATCAAGTTCGCCGATATCAATAGATTTTACTACTTCGTCTTTTGAAGCGTGGTTAGTATTAATACTCATAAGATTAGGATGTAACTGAATGAGCCAATTAGTACGCATCCATAAGTCCTTAGGGCAAACCCTTTCGAAGAACTTATTCATAGACAACTTCAACTTCGAAGCATAATCCGGAACAGGGTAATGTATAGCACTTAAGGATTGTTCGAACTTGTCTTTTGGACTAAACCCCGAAGGAAAACACCACGAAGAACATTTCAACTTGTATTCTTCGTCGGGGTTTGTGGGGTTGTCCTTTAGTAAGATTAAAAAGTCTTCTTCTAATGTTCTAGAAAGGATCTTGCACAATTCTTGAGGTTCAACGAGTCTTGAATCTAAGGGTAATTTTTCATCCCTAATTATATTATGCAAGAACTTATTCTTATCTAAAACGACAACCTTAAAATACTGCGGGTATCTTTCTTGTAAAAATCTTAAACAAAAATCATAGTACTCTCTTAAAGCAAACACAGTTTTGTTATCTTGATGATTGACGTAAATAACATCTTCGAAATATTCCTCAACTATCTTTGCTTTATTGTCTGTCCTATTTAAGTAAGTGTCTTCTATCAAGAGCCATTCTTCAGGTGTTTTGGAAAGGTTTTTTATTTTCATTGTCATTTTGTATTCTCCTGTACCGACGAATGGTCTATACTTAATTGGAGAAGCATCTCTCCACTTGAAACTAGAGAAAACGGCTGGTATTCTGTTAGCAAATATCCATTCATCAGTACTTCTATTAACCGCGCTTGCGGTCTTCTTTGCTTGAAACCTTGCATAAACCTCTTTAATTATAATGCAAAAAATGCAAACTACTGCTCCAAGTTTTATTAGAACACTCATTAAAGGAATGGTTACTAATTATTAACAAAAAAACAAAGAAAACCATGTGTTATAAAGATTTTTTGGATGCTTATATGCTAAGATGTAACTAGGAGATTATAATTATCTATGAAAGACACTGCTGATTCAGGAAATAACCGCATCAAGGTAGGTGCCCTGAGACAATTTTATCTGTCAATTTCTTATCTTGCATTCCATGATATCTTTTTGTGTTTGTATCCTAATCAACTACATAGAAATTATCCAATACTACTAAATACACAGGAATAAATGCTATGATAAGATATATGACCTGAAATGAACTGATGATAAAATTACATTAAATAATTATTGACTCGTTCAGAAAATCGAGAATTTCCATGATCTTAAGGATTAATTTAATATTTCATAGAATCTATTCATGCTAGCTTCTATTTATTTGTAGAGCACACCGTCCAATAGTAATAAAAAAATAATGCTAATTAATGCTAATGTTGAGAGGTGTAGAGACATTTATATGAAACGTTTATATGAAAACAATAATAAGTACTTATTTACTCTAAATGTCTTACAAGATGTATGGTGCCAGATCTACTTATTTATCTTGTTGGATTGTAAATTATAAATACACTAGGTACGTAAATAGATGAAATTACAAATTTGCATAAGGAATTGAAAACAATTTTGGGGGAAATACGTCATCATTAACTATTTCAAATTCTTTCCACGTTCCCTTCAAGTACTGTTCTATATCTTTACAGAACTCAATTGTTCGCATTTGATCAAATTTCTTGTTGTTCTCATAATTATTCATTACACTTTCTCTAAACTTTTGCATGCGCTTTTCAAGTCTTTCAAATCTATAGTTAACCCAATTGGGATAGAATTTGTCATTGGTGTATGTGGGTGCGGCGGATGGCTTTTCTGAAGTGCAGACTGTTGTATCAGGTACGTTGATATCTTCAGGGATGAAACTAACCACATATGAAATTCTGTCGCAACTGTTGAGAGGTTTTGTGGCAATGTGTTTAACTACTCTTCCTTGTAGAAATGTAGCATAACCTACTTTAGGATTCGGAATCCTGAAAATAGATTCATTGCCAGTTTTAATTGCCGTTTCACCTCCAACCATACATTCTGGTGCAGATAGCATTAGTACTAAAACAAATGGTGGGCTATCATAGTGCCAATAAAGGGTGCTTGGTATTTCGGAGCTGGAGTTATCTTGTTGCCTTTTCAATTCGATCAACTCTTCCTTACTATCCACCTTCTTGTCTCTGTCATTGATATGCACTAGTGAAGCATTTACCAGACCCTCGGAGAACACATGAGGAATTTTCAATTTTATTCCTGCGATTTTGTGCATAATCTCCATTGTCTTAGGATGTCTCCAAGCTTCTCGAATAAACCTGGTTTTATGAGCAAATCCAGAAATTTGAAAATCAAGGCGACTAATATCTTTACCAAATACACTCACCCTTCCAAATTCCTTTAGAAATTCAGGGTCATGGAATATTTCCCATTTCATAATATCAATTGCTTCTTCTGAGAAAAGAGGGAAAGGCTGAGTACCTGCCAAATCTGTAATGTGAGGACAATGAGTTTTGTTGATTCCTAGTTCTGTTAAAGTGTGCTTTTCAGTTTTTAAGAAAGCTTCATCACTGAATATTAAATGAATATCAGGATCAAATGGTTGATCCTTCTTGAAACCAATTTTTTTCTCGAGATCAGAAACTAATGCCGCAATCTCTAGCTCAATTGTTGATTGAGGAATATCAAGGTGATGATTTTCGTTAAGTATTTCATCTGTTAACATTATAATGAAGTAAGATTGTAATTTTAATTAAAAAAATACTCGAAATGCTCAAGTCTCCTAGACATATAATATTAACTTTTTATAATATAATGTAAAATAATAGCTCAATGAGAGCCGATAAGATAAGAACAAGACGGACGTTGCCAGATCGGGAATTACATATCAGAAAATATCAATAGACAAAAGCAATAGATCATGATACTATAATTTATCAGGGGTAACTCTAAGGGAATGTCTCTCGAAGATAAGAAACGTAATAGTCTTGATGAGAGTTGATAAGAACATATCGGCTGTTACCAAATTGGGAATTATATACCAGAACATATCGACACAGGAACTTTTGCTGAGTATTTGATTGCACGCGAATCAGGAAGTTATGGTTATTCGGCTGGTTTAGTCAAAGTAGGTATTCAACTTGATACGGTAGCTTAATTATTAATATCCTTTGCTTTAAGCCGTAGAACTGCGATGCAAAAAATTTCCCAAATTATTTGTGGAAATTGTCACAGAATGAAGAGAGAATATTGATTTTTGCAATCATTATATTTCTAATGATACTTCAATCGAGTATTCAGCGTTATATTTTAATTTTCACTATATACTACTGCTTTTAGTTTTTACGAAAATGATCAACTTTTTGTTTACCGTTATTAAAACATAAATTGTTATCTAATTCTGAGGAAAAGTTAAAAAAAAGCTTCACCCAGTTCATCACTTTAATGTATTTTCTGTTGTTTTTAGTTAATGATTAATTATATAATATATAATATTGATATTTATAATAGAATTCAATCTTATATATGTAATAACTATTTTTTTCTTTTTCATTTCAATAAAGGATACAGTTTCAAGTCAGCATATAGCTGATAACTAGTATTGAAAGGACAGATACAAGGAACGGGAGAGGGCTCATTACGTGATTGCACTACTTAGGCTATCCATAGACTAGACGTAAGATGTATCACAATTAGTATATTGTGTCAATATTAGGATGTGTGTATAGATAGAGAGATAAGGTGAAGAAACCAGCTACAATTCAAGCCTTTCTTCAAGAAGAGTTTGAATTTAAAGTTTTGAATGGAGATGCCTCTTGTATTCGGTCTTTTTTATTCAAAATTTTGCTCAAATATGTTCCCAGATATCTTATTCTACTAGACTGTA